CTTCCAACTGAATATTATAGGGAAGTTTTTTCATGTTTAATGTTTTATTATGTTTTTATATATGATGGAAGCTGCCCAGTGTGGTTGGGGCAACCCAGATAGATGGGTGAGGTATAAATGTTGTTGTTGTTGTTGTTATGGAATAGGATGTCCCCATTTTCATCAGAGAACAGTTGGAGTATATGCTTCCTTCAGGTGTTCTTCCACACATTTATGTGTAACATTTAATGCCCCTCCAAATGTTACTCCCAGGAGAGCATATACATACACGCCGCCCTATACCCTCAGGTCTCCCTGGGGAGAGCATTCCACAAATGGGGAGCCACTGCAGAAATAAAAATATGGGTTTTTAAATGAGGGAAGGCTTCGAGATCCACACTATACATTTAAAGCATATTAAAGGCACATCTATAGCACATGACTTCTGCCAAAAAATCCCGAGAACTGTAGTTTCACCCTCACAGAGCTAAAATTTCCAGCAAACTATAGTTCCCAGGGTTCTCTGGGGGAAGCTGTGTCCTTTAAATTGCCTATTTAAATCATGTTAGATACATGATGTGGATCTAGAACTGATATTGAACTCACGTGTGTGGAAAGGAGTAGTTCCATGCATGTCAGTGGATCAGGATGTAAGCAGGTGCCACAAGGAGAAAAACAAATCATCAGAAGCTGCTCAATTAATGTGATTATTCCCAAACATCCTCTCACCTACACCCTGTCCTGACAGTTAAGAAGAGCTGCCATGTTTTTGCTATCAGTTCCTCTGATGAGGTTTCTCAGCTGAAGCCTGGCACCTTTGTAACTAACAGAGTTTAACAACCAGCTGGCATTAAGCTCTAATGAGCAAAATCTAACTCATGCCTATTTGGTTAATTAAGTAACCAAATGCAACCAATTATGATGAAAAATCCATAATTGAAAGCACAAATTTCCTGCCTGCTAATGGATAGAATAGCATAATACTATTTTCCTTTCAACGAATCCAAAAACAGACAGTCATTTTTAAGAGCACTGAAAATGGATAGAGAAAGATTTAATTTCCTCTGGTATACACCCATATTACTTTTCTACCAACATTGCCTCTGATCAAACAGGTTTTGCAGGTTTTAAAAATGGTACAAAACCTGTAAATCTTGTTTATCAGATATGAAAGCAGTGATCCCAGCTTCATAACTCCTTCCATTCTCCAAAACAAAAATAATCACATATCTCTACTCTGATTTACTTAGTTATCATATTTTTTTCCTATACCCCTTTGCATCCATAAAATATTGCAGGGTGATTTGCAACTGCTTCATTGGGGCAGAGCTACCGTAGGCGAGTTGCTGTGCTCATTAGGCCTGGCACTCCTGTGTTGATCGTGTTTTTGCTAATAAAGAGTTAAACTCCAACTTGCACGGTGTGATTTATTGCTGGCTAACTCCTGACATACCCCAACCCCTAAATTCCAAACGCAATCCAGAAGAATACAAAGGCCAGTGGTATCAAAAGTCACTCAGAGGTCCAGGAGAATCAATTGAGTTGTGTTCTTCCTTTCTCTCTCCCAGCAAGTAGGCCAATCAAAGGAGTATCCCTCCAAACAGGGCTGAAAGCCAACATTATACTTCCGGGCAAAGCTGCAAGCAATAGTTTACGTCTATTGAATGTAACGGCTGTTTGGGCTGACCACCCAATTGTTCAAATCTGTGCCAAGATTTCCAGCATTAAACTTCCATATAACTGGCATAAGATGAAAGGTCTTCAAATTCAGGCTTTGAGCAACTCGGGTCTTTGGAGGTGGTATTATGAGAATGGCAGGTATAAGTTTTCTCATTTAGGTGTCAAAAATAGCAACCAGAAACTCTAATCTCATGAAGCAAACGTAGTACTGGAGAAATGTTAATGGCGCAAAGTCTCTCTGTTTCTTCTTGAAGTATCATGATTGCTTCGGTCAATGGGATAACTCCTCTGCCCATTTGTTGAAAAGGATTTAGGCACATATTTGAGAAAAATAGATTTTGCCTTGGGAAATACAGAAATATATCCCTTTAATGGGTTTTCTCCCTCTGTGTCCAGCACTTTCTGTTGAAGTGGCTTTCATTGGCATTTGCTTTCTTCGTTCTCATTTACAAGAGCAGCTCTGTCGCCTGATTAATCTGGAATCCATTTCATCCTGTCCCTTTCCAACTTGTTATTGAAGTCTGCACTTGAGAATATTTGCAGCTGCTGTGCAGGCTAGAAAATAAATGTCTCTCTCCATTTTGCAATTAAGCTTTTTTCCCATGGAAATGCTTTAAGTTTTGCAGCTCTCCCCTTGGATTATATGGTGTGCCTTCACTGCTACCACTAAACAACCTCAGAATCAACAATAAAGACTCGTGATTCAGAGTTCCAACATTGTTGGATTCACATATGACAGAATCCATTCTTTTCGTTTGATTATTGATTTTGGACCCTCTACAGAGGGTCCTGCACTTTGCGTATATCTTATGTAAACTAAAGTTTTAGAGAAAGAGTAAGCCTAGCTTTCTCTTAGGCTGTTTTCACATTCCTGTTTACTCTGTGCTCATTAGGTTTCCATTGATGGGATTTTAATCCACACAATATTATCCTGAATGCATACGTAGCCTGTACTTTGATATAAAATACTACTTTTAGATGTGTTTCTCAAACCAGCTTCACACCAATGGGAGTCCAGAGAGCATTCCTAATCCTTCTTTAGCTAACACAACACCCCCTGGCATATACACAAACAGAAACAAATCTGATACTAAGGTAGTCATGTCAAAGCTCACCAAAATGCTGTAAAGGATACACCTCCACAGGCACATACCTCCACATGTGGTGGGAATATCCCAAAATCCAACTCTTCCGGACATCAGTCCTACAAGAAATATGCAAAATAACTGAACAATCAGTGTGTTTTTTTCTAAAAAAATAAAATGTTAAGGGGTACTCTCATTCCTTCTGAGAAACACTATGACAGGTAATGAGGCCGTCATTGGGGCGTAGCAACAGAATGGGCAATTCACCGTGCTATTCAGCAGAACTTACAATTCACCATGCTAGAGAAGAAACTAAAAATTAAAAAAAAATAGCTTCTTCTCCCATTAGGTTCACAAAATGTCTATGGGTCTGCATACCCCCCAGAAAAAAGCACTGTAAATAAGTATTAGCAGTCACTGGCCCTACTAAACATCTTCCAAGATAATAATGCCAATGCACAATATAAAGAGCTCATAATCCACCTACTCTCAGCAGCCAGAAGCATCATAGCCAGACACTGGAGAGACCTGTCAGGAGTAAGCATGGACCAATGGTATCAAATAGTATGGGTAACAGCCTTGTTAGAAAAACTAACCGATAAGCTGAAACTGACATGGGGACAAATAGAAGAAGACACCTTCACCCTGGTATGGTTCACCTTTATCACATATGTAGCCCTACAATACAACAACAAGAATCCACCGACAGCATTCGAATCAATCTGGCTGACCTGATCCAAAAATACACAGACACATACCCCACTCTCACACAAAAATAAATCTCACTACAGCCAACCAAAGACAACCAACCACACCCTAGGCCACCCCAACCTCTTTCACCACCAAGGAAATAAACAAGCGAACAGTAAGAGAACCCATAAAAGTGACGCTGACACAAAACCCCACACATACACTAAGCAGAATAGAAGCATAACCACCCCACCTGACCCCACTCACCATTCCCCTCCCCCTCTTTCCTTCCTAACCTAATACTGCATGCAACACTAATGTCTCACAACAAATGAAACTGATCTGTAGAAAACACAACTTGAAAAAAGAGACAATGCATGTATTTTTGTAAATGATGAAATCATATGTGTGTGTGTAAGAGAGAGAGAGAGAGAGACGGCGCTAAGCCTGGAAGGACAGCTTACTCTATGATCTTAACCCCTTCATGCATTAATTAGACTGAAGCATATTGGTTATATGAGGCTGGTTATCCCACAGTACAGTCTCAAGGGGGCTGTACCATATAAGTACTTAGAATGCATGATGGAGCAGTGCAATGCTCCATACTAGTTACAACACTTTTAGAGTCAAAATATACAAAAGGTTGTAAGGAGGTCAACGTTTTAGTGAAATGAGAATAGGAGCAGAAGCAGGATGCAAGGCAAGTATCAATGAGAATGTAATACGACTTCATTACTAATGGTTATTCATGGTGAGACAGAACCTCAGCTGTTTTCCATAGCCCAGCTTGAGTCGGAATGGCAGTGAACAAAGCTAAATTGTTTTAAAATGTGAGCAGAAAAATAATCAATTCAGAACCCCTAACTAAAGCATGCTCCATCTAAAGAGGGCATTCCTTAGAAAGAACTATTGTAGCTGTGCAAATGAAAATGTTTATTAATAAGCAGTATTTTAAAGTATTTATACCAGATCAATATTTAATATTTTGGACAATATTTTTCCATGTATAATTTATCAAATGTATTATTTAGTTTTCTATTTATTAAAAATTTATCTGGCATTTTCTTCCCAACCGTCAAGAGGCAATAAAATATTAAATTAACATTTGTTTCCTGAACACCATTTACAGTGATTTCTTAACCAGTGTCTATTACTCTTTTTGTGGCCATTTACCTGGCCATTCTTCCAACACAATGCCTTATTGACACTCTGTAACTCCTCCCTGAGAGTGACTTTACATGAGCCAGTCCACCAAGAGGTTCTCCTGGGCAAACACCAGTGAAATTAATGGCAGCTGAGAACTGAATGGAACATGTGTTCAAATCTCTCTTCAACCATCTCTCTTTATCTCACCAAGTGGCTTTGGCCAAGTCCTACTCAGTCCCTCTAACACAGGAATGGGGAACCTCTGGCCTGAAGGATGATCTTGGCCCATGGGGAGGGGGTCCAAGTTGGCCCCAAAGGCCACTTTCCACAAAGCATACCCACCTGTTCATCAGCTGGTGGTGGGAGGGCTAGATTCATTCCTGCTGAGATCTCCTTCCCAGCAAATTCCCTGTGGGTGTTTTCTTCATGTTGGTGAAACAGACCCCTGAACCCAGCAGGGTTGAACCCACAACTCATCACTTGTTGAAAGGAGGGTTTGATCCTTCAGGGCACTGCTTCACCAGCATGTTTCCAGCAGGTTAGCAGAGGGTTCAGTCCTGCTCGGTTTGGCTGTGCACTTCTGTTCCCCTGCTGGGGACAGGCACACAGCACAGTATGGGGCTGTTTGAAAGCCCTTTTGCAAACAGCCTATGCTGTTCTTTAAACCTCCAGTTTTCAAAGGTTGAAAGAGCTGTTTGCAAGAGGGCTTTCACGGTTCTAGTATAATGGGAGAGGGGGAAAAACTTTTCTTTGTCCACATTCTCCACATCATACATAATTTTATTGTGATCCTTCAGGTTCATTTCCAAATAATAACACAGAAGCACAAAAGGGGAAACCTGAAAGGGAAAGCAAAAGAGTATAAATGAACTGGAGGGATTACTCTAATTGGCGTGAGTTGAGAACACTTGGGACTTACAGGATTATAGGATTCATACCTATGTGATGTTAAGACCCACTGTGTAAAGTTGGGTGAGAGGCATTATAAGGGCTCTCTAGTGCTAGGTGGAGAAGGGAAGACCTAAGACTGCATTTCAAAAGTAGGAATCACTCTGTGCCTGACAGCAAATGAAAAGTGAAACAGTCGAGGAGAAATTGCCCATAATGAGGTCTCTTACACTGCAAAAAATAATGGTTTCTGAAAGGAATGAATGGTGCTCCCATCACTTGAATCATTTTAATGCACTTGAAAATGTTTGGCCATGTGGGAAATGGACAGCAAGACTAATTGGCATGCTTGGCTTGGCTCTTAGTAAATCAAAAATACAGAATATCACCTCTAAGTGGAAGAAAGTGGATGTGACAACCCGGGGGGAAAAATGAATACAGAGCTTCCACCTAATTGGTGAATAATGGCACCATATCTCTCTGTCACTGTACCGAGTTCAAGAGAGACTGAAGTGCAACTGATATAAATCTTGAATTTCTAGAAGCCGCAGAAATTGGTTGAGAAGTTTGGAAAGAGTGGATTAGCTGGGTATAAAGATGTAAATGCCCTTGCTCCTGCATAGATCTTGTATCTGTGATTCTACATGTATAATTGTACTGCTAATGGATGAGAATGCCCAATTAATTCAATGTGCATCCTTTTTAAATGACCAGAGAGCTGTGTGGTGTAATAATTCATATGTCTAGTCTGAACGATAATCTTGGTCATTTGAGTGCCCTTTTTGACCATTGCTCTCTTTTTATTTATACATATTGCTTGTATTATGTCGCTATGGCTGTTGGCTAATGCGAATAAAGTTTATCTATCTATCATATGTCTAGTTACAAGTAAGCCCTGCTGAGTTAAATGGGATTTACACCCAGGTAAGTGAATATGGGATTTCAGCCTAAACCACTGAGGAAATGTTTGACAGAATCTCCTAAAAGCTTCCCAAAATTAAAGTCTGCAATACCCTTCCCTACAACAAATTCTACCTGAGGGTATAGCTGAAACTTTGGTAAAAGGGAATGAAATTGCCATTGTAAGACAGAAAAGAGTAAGTTATCAGGATAAAAAAGTGTGTGTGTGTGTGTGTGTGTGTGTGTGTGTGTGTGTGTTTGATACATGATTTCTAAACATGTGTTTCTCCTTAATAATAGCTTGCTATTCTTTTCACTGACATAGGCAAGTTTTCAAACGACACCACCTTTTTCAAGCTGGTAACACCTCACAAAAATTATAAATTGTTCCATAAGGGTATCTCCAAACTGCTTATGTTGACAACAGAATGGCAGGTGAAACTCAACGAAAGGTCAAAGCGATGCATACTGGGATGAAAAATGTCTAAATTGGCTATAACCACTCAGGAAAGGGATCTTGAGGTCATGCTAGGAAGGTTTCTGAAAATGTCAACTCAGTGTACCACAGCAGAGGGGGGGGAAACAACTTCTGTGTTTGGAATTAACAGGAAACAGCTCTGATCACCTCATCCTCTAAAGAGGAAAGACACACAAACAGGCAACTAAAATGAACAGGAGCATGGGAGTGTCTTTCTTATAAATGAAAGGGGGGTTTTTTGGAAGACGGAACAAAAGAAAAGGGGACATGATACACAATGTATAAAATTATGTATAGCATGGAATTTTTTAAAAAAAATTGTTTTAATTGAACAGCATAAATACAGTGGTACCTCGGGTTACATACGCTTCAAGTTACATATGCTTCAGGTTACAGACTCTGCTAACCCAGAAATAGTGCTTCAGGTTAAGAACTTTGCTTCAGGATGAGAACAGAAATCGTGCTCCGGCGGCGCGGCGGCAGCAGGAGGCCCCATTAGCTAAAGTGGTGCTTCAGGTTAAGAACAATTTCAGGTTAAGAACGGACCTCTGAAATGAATTAAGTACTTAACCCGAGGTACCACTGTATACAAGAAATATAGAACAGGAACAGAACCACCAGCAAAGCCAGAATAACATTGTACTACTAACCCACAATAGAATTGTCAGTAAAATTTAAAATTGCAATGTCATAAATCCACAATTTGTATCCAAGATGTATTTCCTAAACCTGTTACGCTGAATAAAACACATCTATTCCCTCCTAAACAAATGACTAGCATAGCACATTAGCAACCTTCTTGCTCCACAATTCTGTCTGAGACTGGCCTGCTTACAAAGCAGTGAGAATTGAATGCAACTTCCTCCACAATCTCTGTCAGCTGAGATTTCTGTGTAGGTCCTAACTGGCCCAGGAGACCCAATACTCTCCTACTGCTTCCCAAAGAGCCACATGGACAGCTGTGTGGGCTGCTTGTCATTCCTTCTTAGCTCTCGTGTGCTAATCATGTATGGAAGCGCTCCAACCACCAGAAAATTTGAGTTATGTACCATACATAGGAGTCTTTCTAAGCCAGATAACATATGTGAAGTGTTCTGAGCACTCAGAGAACTGGTATATACACTTTTAAATATTATTAAGCTCCCCACCTCTGTGTGTGCGTAATTTTGATAAACTAAGGTTCATGCATGCAAAGACCATGTACCACTGATGGGATTGTGCTAAGCAAACCACAATTTAATACAGAGGTAGAAATTAACACAAAAATACAAAAGTAGAAAATCCATACAAGACTAAGAGAAGACTAGAACAAGCAGAGACATCACACCACTTTCTAATATACATACAAAGAAGCATTTTGTCCTGGTAGATAATTAATGTAATCCATAATCCCATTTTGTAGCCAGATGTCTTTCCCTAGTAGCCTAATTCCAACTTCTGCAAAAAAATAATAATAGCAGTAATAATTGGCAGATACACTGCTTTGAGTGCTTGAAACATCAGCTCAATAACTTCATATCTCTTTTATTCCTCAGAGATCCAGAGCTAATGTGTGGTTGGCAAATGAGAGAAGTGATTTCTCTGGCTGCATTGAAGTTCAATCTCTTTCTTTTTCATTTCAGTTAACTGAGGTTGACTTTTGAATGGCGAGATCTGTCAAAGGAGATTTCTGAGAAAATGAGAGGTTCAGCCAGTGGCGCTCTTAGAGAAAGGGCAAAAATTAAAGCACATTTCTGTTGTGCCACTCCAAGTCCAAAGGGCCTGGCAGAAACTCTTTGACAAGAATGAATCCATCTTGGCTGTGCTTGGCTTGGGCACATATTCCGCTGAGTTGGATGCTTCCCGTAATAATAATTAAACTGAAGATGCATACCATCCAACTTTTTCAGACCTAAAACCAGGACGCTGTGCTACTGGGCGAGTCCAGAGCCCCACACCTTGCTCTCGCTCTCTAAAGAACACTTTCCTTGGGGTGAGAGTGAACAAGTGTGAGAGGAATGGAAAGAAAGCCTCACAGCAGACACGAAAATATGAGGGAAGGTGTATGTATTTGTGAATGGAGCAGAAAAGAGCGATAGAGGGAACTGAGTGAATCATGCTGATGCAGAGGTAATGGGTTGTGACTGTGAGAGGAAGGAGGAAAGAGAAGGGGATGAAGAAGCAATGAAATGAGGGAAGTAGCAGAGAGACTACAGAAGGGATAGAGTCAGGGCCGGCCCACCTATGAGGCAAGGTGAGGCAACTACCTCAGGCAGCAAGATCCACAGGGGCAACAGATTCTGACGTAGATCTTTCTTCCCCTCCCCTTCTTCCTGATGTAGATCTTCCCTCACCTCCTTTTCCCTGGTGGGGAGTGGGCTGACATTTTGGGATCTGCCTCAGGTGCCAAAATGTCTTGGGCCAGCCCTGGTTGCAGTGAGGGAAGTGTAACCTGTAAGGGCATTGGTAGTGTGGTAGGTTCACAGGCTCTGGCCAGCAGGGTTAGGGAGGGAAGCAGTAGGGAAGGAAGACAGAAAGCTTTTCTCCCAGTGGAGGGCCAAAGGAGCAACAGCAGAAATAGAATCATTACAGCAGAACCGTGACTGCACTTTGAGGAACAGGGTGATAGGAACCTTGAAACTGAACAAACTGTTCATAAAGCATGTCTGAGGATGAGAGGCCTCCTGAGCTTGCCAGAGGAATAAGCTTACCAGTTGTCTCTGAGAAATAAGAGGCACTGGTGCTCTGAAAACATTTGCACCCTAAGAAAGAGGTCACATATGGCTTAGTGTTATGTGAGAACCCTGCTCAGAAGCTTAACTATGGTTTCTTTACTGCCAGCAGACTACAATCTGAAGCTATGGTTTGTTGCTGGGTGTGAAGTTCCTCGTCTTGAGCTTGAAGTTTGAAAGCAAGAGGTGTGTAGTTATGCCCCAGGAGGGTGAACTGGGCAACATGACCCCATGCACCATTTGAATGCCTGATCAAAAACATGTCAGGGGTAGAAAAGAAGGAGCCTCTGGACTTAAACCTACACAAAGCAGTTCCCTAACGACTCACTCAGCCACAAGAATCAGGCATGCCATGAGATATTTGTCTAACTTCAGCTTCCACACCAAACCTAATAATAGGAACATGTGGCCCTTGTGGTGTAAAAGGTAGCTTACATTTCACATGCAGAAGGTCCCAGGTTTGAATTCAGCATACAATCTCACACTAGGAAGCCTGAGGTGGGATGGGGTGTCCTCATCCAGGAACACCTGAGCCAAGCAAGAGGAGTGCTACATGGGCCAATAGCCTGCAGTGGATAACTTGGCCCTGCATGGGATAGGTCACACTCTCCTACTGAAAACATACGTGACTTCTCTCTCTCTCTCTCTCTCTCTCTCACACACACACACACACACACACACACACTTTTGCCCCAAAGTCTTCTTCTGGATATTTCTCATGTACATAAGTACCCTTAACATGTACAACTAGTAGACCTAGAAGAAATATTTTAGCCCAATTCTTGAATAATTTTCCATTTGCAGGTCATTTTTAAGATAACTTTTTTTAAAAAGTGATCACCCACTTGCAGTCTGAAATGAAGTCTTTTGCCACCTAATTCTGATGCATATGTAGACCAGGTCTAATTCCGCCCCCGCCCCCCCATGAGAGCCCTAAATTTTACTAATTTTTCTTTCCCCTTCTCTTCCAGCCAGCATGGTTTAAAATCATGCCCTTTCTTATCTACGTGGCATATCTAAAAGGTTAATCAAACTATGTTTTAATAACAAGTCTTTTCTAACCCACTAAACGTCCCTCTTTTTGGATCCGGTGTTTGTCAGGACCAATTGTGCTTTCCAGATAAAGTCTTAATTTGCTTGGGAAAAGGTTAAAAGATTGGCTTCATCAAAGCATTGTAAGTAAAGAACAGTAACTAAAGTGTGAGGTAGTTAAACAACTGAAATGTCTTGGTAGCCAAATCTGAAAAGGAAATTGTCAAGGCCAATTGTCTTGTGCCTTGAAGGCATGTATGCAGGCTGACAACTTGTGAAGTGAAAACCAAAATGGAACATGAAATGTCAGATTTAGAGAGAACTTCTAAAACTCAGCCAGTCCAAAAACACCCCTGTATGATTGTTAATGTGACTAAGGATTTTTAATGTACTTTTCGTAAGTGTACTGCCTTGAGGCTACAGAAATTCCCAGAGCAAATATGAATTTTTAAGAGAGAAGAGACTGAACGTATCTACTGCCATTCCAAACGATAAAAAAAAGACAAAAGGAAGCAATTTTCTGACTCATCACAGTGTTTTGTTTTGTTTTGTTTTGTTTTTCAGAGATGTTGTAAAAATAGTTACTCTGAAAACAAACATACATATCATTTTGTAGGACACAAAACTATACAAGATACAGACTAGACTGGATTAAATAGATGGCTTCTATACTGTATACTTCTGCCAGACACAATCCATTCAACAACTTACGTGAATTATTATCAGAGTTGTCACCCAGCTCAAGAAAAATGAGGTAAAAAATTGTATAAGTTTCAGTCAATCAACTGTATTTGCATAAATGTGAATAGACATAAAACCAATCGTTCTGAAAGAAAAGAGTGTGCTTTCAGGGCCAAGTTTGGAGGAATAAAGCCCCACTAAGAACAATGAGGCTAACTCCCAAGGAAAATGGAGGGAACTGCAACCCCTTCCTCTTGCTCAAACCCTGGGGTTGAGGGAAGAAAATGACAGGTACCAACTCCTAAAAGGGGGATGTGAGAGAGCTCTCGTTGATTAATCAGACTGAACAACCAGCATGCAATGCAATGTTCCCAGCCAAATATGAACCAAAATAAATAATCTTAAGCATCTTTGCTCAGAAAAAAGTCCTATTTAAATCCAATGGGGCTTGCTCCCTAACAAGTGTACTTTAAGATTGCAGCTTGGAGGCTGCAACCCAGTGTACCACAGTAACCACTTGGTTCACTATTCTAGAACAGTTGTGGCTTTGTATATGGCTGCAGTTCCGTGCTGTGTACCACTGATGTCTTCAGCTGCCAATGCACCAATTACATTAGTTGGACCGATCATATAGTACAAGGTGGTCCAACACGCAGCTGGAATAATAGCAAAAGAGGGCCATTTCTCTAATAGCAGGGAGAACTTTCCTACTGCAAGATGCACACTACATCTAGACTCCTTGCCTACATCCAGTTTCTTTGCAATTTTTCCCACAGTGTGAGTCTCAAATGCCCAGGCAGAAATTCAAATTTATGTCTTGCAGGAGATCTTGAGCTGGGTATGTCATTATTGCTTGGATTTAAACGCCTGGCTGAATAAATTAATAGGCACCATGTATCTTACTCTGCCTTCATTCCTACTATCACAGTGCAGGAAATTATTTAACAAGAGCAGTTAGTACTAATTTGCGAGACTTCTGATACCAGAGGGCTGCTTCAGAGATTATGATTTTCCTATTAAAATAAGAAAAAGGGGGCTTGCTGTGCCCTCACCATTACAACTCGCTGCCAAATCTCGCTGTCCTCTCAAACAGCTTAACCCTTGGATGAATGAGTGTGGGCTGTGTGTTTGCTATATGTACATGTTATGTTAATTGGCTGTCTTAAAGGCTAAAAAGAGGGGAGTTTTCAAGGGCTCTTTGCCTGCTTACTGGTGTGTGTGTATGTGTCTCTGGATTTCACACCATAGCAAAATGCGGATTCAAGCCAGTCTATCTCCCCATTAATGTAGGGACATCCATATGATGTCTTCCCCATCCAAGTATTATCCCAAATCTCCCTTAAACGTGACTTTTTTCATTCCTTGGAATGTCCGGAAATGGCCAGGATTGAAGGTGGAAAGGACTGGGACAGCACTGAGATGGAGTCCAGTGTGGACATGCCCTTTGACCTGTGAAATAAAGCCTCTCATCCTTTGCGTGGACAGGCGGAGTCCCCAGATCCCGAGCGGTTCCCCCCCCCGGCATGTGGAATAACGACTCAAGACAACGTGCTATGGGGTTAAATTGGCCACAACTTTATTAAATTTCAAATGTGGGTAGACCTTGGCTCAGGCATTGGGCGTTCTCCCTCCCCAGTCCCCAGCCGGGGACCTAGGGAGCATCAGGGTTATCCAGTGTTTGTGTGGGGGATGGGCTGGCTCTGGAGAACATATGTTTAAGCAGAGATAGCCGCCCCTGTTACGCCGCCGCCGCAGGGGAGAGCAATGACGACCTTTTGGCCGCCGCAAAGAGGAAGATGGACTAAAGGCCTGATACCGCCACCCGAGACGGCAAAGATTGCGGTCTCGCCGCCAAGACTACCTACATCTGAAAAGCCCCTTTGCCATCCTCCAACCAGTCAATCAGGCCATGCCTGATGTCGCTCAGCCAACGCTCGTTACCAAGGTCCGATAGGTGCACGCCATTGGGCCGAAATAGCTCCTTCATGTAAACTTTAATGTTGGGGTGTTTCACGACCCGACCTCCCATGTGAGTGGTTGCAGAGCGCACTGCCCTATTGATTTTTTCAACAGTGTAATTAAGTCTGGTGGGTTTGATGTTGCCACGCCAATGCAAGCGTGGCAGAAGTTCTGACCAGAAAATCGGGATATTGGGGTGAGTGGCATGTACGCTTTCCAGGTCTGCGATCGCTGTTTTGATCAGAATTATGCTTTTACGAATGACCAAGTCATTTTCGCCGAGGTGGAGCACAACCGCATTTGGCGGGTGGCGGTACGCAAGCTCGTGACGCAACCGAGGGAGCAGGGCATCCCATCGCATTCCACGTTGTCCGAACCAGGAAATGGAGATCTTTGGCGGCAGACCCAGATGTTCTCCGGCTGGACCGGTGGCGGCATGGGCGGCCGCCCAATGCACTATGCTGTGGCCGAAGATCCACACATGTTTGGGGGTCGAGCCTGAAAGAAAGGATTATATGGTATCTGTCAGTGCCTGCTGGTTGCATGCAGTTGCATGCAGCCACCGGCTCTGGAGCCAAGTGAGGATTCCCAGGTAAGATCCTCCCTCTATTGCGTGGGCAGGTAATCCCTCCCCTACCTGGCCTGGTCTCCTTGGCAACGCTTCCCCCAGGTGGGATTGGACAACTGACTGAGGTAGGCGGAGACCTCCAGGTATCCCACCTGAGGGAAGGCAAAGCCAATGGATCCGCTCCAGATCCAGGGGCTGAGCGCGTCCACGCAAAGGGTGCCCCCCGTTTTAAGCGGGGAGCGGTCATTCCCAACAAGTCAAACTAGAACACCATCCGCAAATACATCTAACCCAAGGATGGGGGAACCTGTAACTCTCCAGATGCTGTTGGACTCCACCCCTCATCATCCCAAGCCAGCATAACCAATGGTCAGGGATGATGGGAGCTGGGGTGTCCAGCAACATCTGGAGGGACACAAGGTCCTAAACCCTAAACTGAAGTCTGGTGCTGGGCATGTGCGAATGCATTCAAATTCAGTGTCATATATTTGGCTAAGTCACTTTGCTTAGTGACAAAGCACATGCTGTGTTTACTAAAAGTCCCAGGTGTCATATCTACTTCATACATTTAAAGCACATGACTTCCCACAAAGAATCCTGGGAACTACGGTTTATCTTCCTCAGAACTACAGTTTCCAACACCTGTTACAAACTAAAGTTCCCAGGATTCTTTGGATTAGACCACTATTCCTTGCATCTCCGTTAAAAAAACCAATAACAATGCTCAGGTACAGGCTGGGAGGACATCTGCCTAACAACTTGGATATCCACCGGCAGTCAGAGAAGACAATATTGGTCTAGACTCTAGATGGACTGACTATCTGACTCAGTGTCAGGAAGCTTCATATGATCATCTGAATAAACCCCAACCTGATGCCCTCCAGATCTTTTGGACTATAACGCCTATCAACTCCAGCCAGCATGGCCAATGATCAGGGATGATGGGAGTTTTATCCAGCAACACCTAAAGGTGACTGATTGAAGCCAAACTTCATGACAAGTTTAACTTCCATCATAACATCAGGTTGGTGGTTTTAAAGTGCACTCCACTCCTATATTGGATCCAGGCCATGAAGCATATGAGCTATTAAAGCTTTGGTGTGTCTTAATAATTGGATTGTACAACACCTAGTCCCTTTTGCTATAAGTGTGATGCTAGATAATAAATATGCAATTTGTCACTTCCGTGCCCAGAACAGATGTACCTCACAGGGACTTTAAAATGCTAGTTATTTCCTGCATTTTCATCTTGTTTCTTCTCAGGAGGTTAAGCAAGAGAACTACAGAATCTTTTGTCAGGGAAACGAGTTGCGGAGAACCGAAAGCATGTACAAAATAAAAGCAGTGTGGAGAAGGGGGAAGTTAAATCAGGATGTTTTCCCTGTGTGCGTCAATGGTTGTACTATGTGACATCTTGCCAGATTTTGTATCCTTTTTCATAGAGATCGGCAATTTGTTATAAAATGAATTGCATAGGAAAGAGGGTGAAAGGGATGAATATAGGGAAAGAAGAAGAGAGCAAGAAACTGAATGGCAAATAAATACAGATAAAAGATCCCACATTTGTTGTCCAGAGACAAAGACATGCTCAGTAGGATTTGCTCCTTAGTAAGAATATTTAGGATTACAGCTTTAATGAATTCTGTCTCCTCTTCTTATGAAGATGAATACTGTAGTCTGGTAAGAGCAAGACTATGTATTCCAAAACTGTTTGGTCCTTAAAAGATTTACCAGGAAGATTTACAAGGAAGTATCAGTTAATAAAGGACATTTGGGGATAGCATTCCCCCCCTTCATGTTTGTTTTTAGTAATTTGATTAAAGAATAAAAGGAGAATTTCCTGGACGCTTAGATCCAGGTTTGGGGCAAGTACTCTTTGGTGAGAGAGCCCCAGCAGTGATTTAAAATCACAAAATGTGCATCAAAAGTAAAGCATGGAAATACAGGGTGTTGGACCTTTAAAATATCCCCTTCTAAGTCTCTTCCAAAGTTACCCACTTCCCTTAGCATAGAAAGAGACCACACATTTGGTAAGTTAAAACTGGTTTACTTTCAAACTATTCAAATGTCAGATTTGTGTGTTTTTCTATACAGCAGTAAGAAAAGACAGGCAGTTTAACTTACAAAAAGTGGTAGGTGTTTCTATGTTACTTGTACAGAAACACAAAGATGGCTTGCTAAAGCCATGCAGTCTGGGCTTCGAGCAACCAGACCCAGACCTCCTTTTTGGAAGGGTTACATGTTGGAAAGAGAGAAAACAAAGAGTTTGGTAACCCTTCTTCCGAAGGAGAAGAAGAAGAAGAAGAAGAAGAAGTAGAAGAAGAAGAAGAAGAAGAGGAGGAGTATGGCTTTGATATCCCGCTTTATCACTACCCGAAGGAGTCTCAAAGCGGCTAACAATCTCTTTTCCCTTCCTCCCCCACAGCAAACACTCTGTGAGGTGAGTGGGGCTGAGAGACTTCAGAGAAGCGTAACTAGCCCAAGGTCACCCAGCAGCTGCATGTGGAGGAGCGGAGACGCGAACCCGATTCACCAGATCACAAGTCTACCGCTTTTAACCACTACACCACACTGGTGAGGGGGTGTAGCCTAGCTAAGCCTGGCAGGACAGCTTACTCTATAGTCTTAACCCCTTCATGCATTAATTAGAGTAAAGCATGTTGGTTATATCAAGCTAAATCTAACCCAAAATTCGGATCACATGTGATTATTTCTAATCAACGTATTAGCCATATACATTGAATAACTGTTAAAGGCTTATGGAATAGGTATGTGTCATGAACCAATACTCGGATTCCTGCTCCTTTTAGAAATGGTCTTTGAAGTCCTTATCTCTTCAGAGCCATCATCACCAGAAATGACCATGAAAGCCAGTCCTCCTTCAGCCTGAGAAAGTAGCCTCTAGGTTAGATTAGTGCAACCTATTATACTGTACATGGGGCTGCCTTTGAAGACGGTTTGGAAAGTGTAGCTGATGCAGAACTCAGCAGCCAGATTGCTGACCAGGACAAGATGGTTTGACAACATATCATATATAGCATCTATCCTGACTCAACCTCATTGGCTACCAATTAGTTCCCAGGCTCAAATTAGTATCACTAAAGTGGTGTTTTTTTTTTGGGGGGGGGGGTGAGACATTCTTGCCAGCCATGATCACACAATGATTTCTTACTTAACACAAGACCATAAATTTACCTCCTTCCTTCATCAAACCTATGATTGCGGGCTAAGACGTGTTTCCGAAAATGTCTTAGTACAGCAGTTTCTGGTTGAAAATTACCGTAATTCATTTAGAATGTCTACTGCCAGTGCTGTTAATGGCACATGTGTCGCACAATGGCATTCTCTGTGTGGAGTCTGGGTTTAAAATATTCATCACAAATTGAGACAAATATCTCCCCAAATATGTAAACCTATCTGAAGGCCTAATGCAAAATATATATTTGTTAAAGCTCATTTGACATCCCTGAGAACTTAAATTATTCATTAACAGCATTCATTTTCAGAAAATGCTGCTCATTTCCTCTTGAGGCTGGCATTAAAAAGGGGAAGAAAAATATAAAAATGCAGCAAAGCAGGAGGCAGTATTGCAAATATTATAAGAAGAGATACCAGAGGGAGAAACTGGTTCTCAAAAGTGCCAGCTGCTGATTTTTAGTGTAGCTCAGTGCATTTTGGAACTGAAGTGGGAAGACTTGAGTCTTCCTCCTGATTTCAGACAGACAGGCCAACATTTGTGCGAGTTGCTTCAGAAAGTCTGATCTTGCTCCTGAAGAAGGGACCTCCGTTCCAAATAATGGAGTTACAATAATATTAATAGTGGTTGGGCACTTTTGAGAACTACTTTTGCCTACTTTTCCTCTTTTTGGACTCTGTATACACCAAAGATTTAAAGCACATCCCCCCTCCCCTAAAAAGGAATCATGGGAACTACAGTTTCTTAAGGGTGCTGAGAATTGTAGCTCCATGACAGGTTCCTAGGATTCTTGGAAAGAGGGTGTGCTTTACATGGATGAAGCTTATGTAGAATTTTGGTGCCTCTCTTCTGGTGTGGGTGGATGTGCTTCAAATGTTGTTGTTTAGTCGTTTAGTCGTGTCCGACTCTTCGTGACCCCATGGACCAGAGCACACCAGGCACTACTGTCTTCCACTGCCTCTTTGTCCATGGAGTTTTCTTGGCAGGGATACTGGAGTGGCTTGCTGGTTCCTGCTCCAGTGCTTCAAATATTATCGCCAAAAAAGAGAGAACAAGCTTGATCTAAGTTGATTGCATGCATACTCACTACACAAGCAAGCTGATTTCTGCTCGGGAGATAGGAGGCTGCAATGCTCAGAACATTTTTTAAAGGACTCATCAGGGATATATTTCATAATAGCATCATTTCGTAAATGCGTTTGAAGGCTTGTTCCTAACAAGAGCTGGCACATTTACTGACACTTGCAAACCACCTGCAAGCTGATGATCAGTTTCAATACTGACCATCAAGGGATCTTTGTTTGCCACATGGTATAAGTTCATGGCCCTTTTTCCGTAGCTCATATATATGGGTTCAGCAACCTACTCTCCCTAAACCCCCCCCAAAAAACCACCTTTTAAAAATTTTGTGACACAGTTGCCTGTTCAAAAAACACATTAAAAACATGCATTTTGATTTGAAATGCATACCAAAAAAGTATATTTTGTGAAAACAATATTTCAGAAATAATGCATCTAAAAAAATAAAACTGGAAGTAGAAACAGCATGGAATGGATTTTGGAATGAACACACATGAAACTGCAATAGACTGGAATTTGGCATATTCACCCCCTCTACTGTTGATGGACCTGGCTAGACCTTAGATGGTGCTGTGGTCTAAACTACTGAACCTCTTGGGCTTGCCGTTCAGAAAGTTGGCAGTTCGAATCCCTGAGCTCCCATTGCTCTGTCCCAGCTCCTGCCACCTTAACAGTTTGAAAGCACACCAGTGCCAGTAGATAAATAGGTACCGCTGTGGCAGGAAGGTAAACGGCGTTTCCGTGCGCTCTGGTTAACCATCCAGGGTCTTTTACCTTTTATCTTTAAGTGTCCCTACAAAGAACTGAGTAAGGGTATTAAAAGGACTTCCTGTAACTGGGTGGAGCTTGTGATTGGCCATGGACAGGTAGACAAAGTTTCAACAGGGAGCCAGCCTGGAGGAGTTAGCTCATCTCATAGTGGGATGCAACATCACACTATGACAAGTATTCCATTTGCACCAGCAAGCATTTCAGCTTCCCAGATGGGACAATTCTCCCCCTTCTCTCCCCCCCCCCCGGCTGTTCTAGGCGTTCTCCCAACTTCCCCAGAGCCAGTTTCAAGATATGTGGGCAGAAGTGGGTGAGGGAACCCGGGTGCACCTTGGTGCAGGGCTGACGAGGCTTGTTTTATGAATCCCGCTTCATATATTTTCCCACCTTGGTGAAGCTTTTGCCTTGTTCATAAACCTTTGTGGTCTCAGCTTCTTTTAAATGCCCTCTAGCCTTGAAGCTATAAAGCAGTACAGGTTGGTTGATAAAGGGCAGCATAGTAATAAAATCCTCTCTTATCTGGTGGCAGCAAGTTCTTAAGCAGAGAGGAAGGGGGTGTAGACAGACGGGTACACTTTGTTGTGGCTCCATCTCCCAACCTCAGGCAGCACAGGACCCAGGGGTGGCTGGCAGGTGGCCATCACATATTCTATTATGTGACATTGTGACCCCTCCAAATGAAAGGTCACTTGCAATATAAGGCAACTGTACGTCACATATCATTTCTGTGCATAAAGCAAGGCAGCTCAAAGTTCACACATAACTTTCTTTTAAAAGCAGGAAATGGGATAAAGCCAGCTTCATCTATTTTGTATTTACAAAGCATTCATTCTTACTCACAGAGAAGCAACATTGCTGGTGCTGTTAATTTGTGCGACCTGATTGTCTAAAATGGCAGATAGTTAATCATTATATTTTTCCCCCAATTCCGTTTATGACATTTAATAAAATTGTTGTGATTCAGCCTTCTTCTTCTTTTAATTAACAGTGCTAATCTCGCATCTTCATAACACTTCACAACCGTTAATGAGTTCATTTCCCCAACACTCCAGTGCTTTAGATAAGGATAGTTACTAGTAATTATTTCTAACAAATGCACAGCTTTAGAGTCAGGCACTTTGACCAAGGTTAGCTTAGCAACAACCGATGCCTAAGACTCTGTCTGAACCTGAACACTGAGCCTATTTATGCAAAAAGCATAATAAACGAGAGGCTGATGAACAAATCTGGGGGCAGGGGGAGCTTCTTTTACAACACAACATCTCCCACAATCTGCTTTTCAGACCCACAAAGTTCGAAGCAGAGGTTGCCCTTGGGGACCCCTGCTATTAGATTGCCATCAGCCAACCAAATGGACAGATTTGGGATACTCCAAAGATTTTACTCCTTGAAACTGTTATGTACTGAAGTTCTCACCCTGGGCCAGCAGGGGGATACTGTAGACAGTTTTCACTCAGGTCCACATTTGCAAATAAGGAATTGAAAGTGACGTTCAGTGATTGGATAGTTACAAAAAGTTGTTACTGTTGCGTTGTAGTGGAGCTCTATATAAGCAGGCTGGCTGAACCCTTCAGTTCAGTTCTGTTCTGGCCTGTGAATAAACAAGAGCTGTTTGAAGAATCACTGTGTCGTCTGATATGTTCTCCCACAACTTAACAGAAACAAATTAGTTAAGGTTCCCATCTAAAATTGAGACGATTTCTGCAATTGCAAGAATGGTGCAGGAGACCTGTAAGGCCTACAAGAAGCTCACAGGCAGGACTGAGTGCAACAGCACTCCTTCTACCACCTGTAATGCTCAGGGGTTATTCCTTAGCTGGTATTCAGAAGCATACTGCCTCCAACAGTGAATGTAGAACATGGCTAGCAGCAGTGCTTTTTTTCTAGAAAATGAGGTGCAGGAACTCACACCTTTCTGAGATGGACAACCCTAAGTTGCTGAGCTTTTTTGTAAGGAGCATCAAAGCTTTCAGCACCTTAGACGCCGTAACCCTACAACGCCAGCAGCAACTCTAAAGAAGTTTTCAAGACTGTATACATGCCATGCATTTGAAGCACATCCCCGCCACAAAAAAAAGAATCCCAGGAACTGTGTTTGTTAAGGGTGCTGGGATTGCAGGTTGTGGGGGGGGGGGGAACTACAGTCCCCATGATTATTTGAGGAAGGTGCTTTAAATGTATGGTGTGTATGCAGCAGGGCTGGCCCAAGACATGGGATCTGCTGCCTCTGTGGATCCTGCCACCTAAGGCAATCGCTTCACCTTGCCTCATGGGTGGGCTGGCCCTGGTATGCAGGCTGAATGTTTTCCCATGTTCTTAATGATTTTCCATTTCCCCCCCTCACTTATATATTCTTTGACTTGATCGTTTGCCACACTTGGCTCCTTTGGGATAGAGAGTGGTGATCACCACCACGATCACCATCACTTAAAATTTCCTGAGAGTCTTTTCTATCTGTTGTAGCAAAATGGAATAATGCAGTGGGCTGGGTGCCATGAATTTTTTTATTGTATTTTTATAGACTTGCTGTGGACCGCTGGTATGAAGCTCACAGTCCACCAGCAGACCACAGACCACAATTTGGGGAACCCTGGGGCAGAGGAAAGGAGGGATAGAAATAAATTTATTTATTTATGCATGCATGCATGCTTGTGTTGGTTCTGCATATTTTATGCATGGTGGTACCTTCCACATTTTTCTCCACAGAGGATCATACTGAGTAAACCTGTGTCAAAAAGCTACCTAAAGCACCAAGCCTCAGCTACAAAAGCTATTCGTTTCAAAATAAGTTCTTCTGGGGCATGCTAACAGTGTATATGAAGGCTAAGCTCCCTTTGAGTCATTCATCATCTCAGATGCTAGATGTCAACTGTTCGAAGGCTCTTTTTTCCCCGTTTTCTTTTTTTGACAAAGGTTACCACACACAATCTCTTTTCCCCTGAATTGGTTCTCTGGTTACAGCGAGAGAGATGTGTCAGGGCTGCGCTTTCATTTTTATTAAACTTTCTGCCAAATGTGACAAGCTGGGGGAAAGTTCTGGGTGCAACTGCACAGTCAACTGATTTTATTTTTTTTATCTGCTCTCCCCCACTTCCTCCTCTTTAAACCTCCATCTCTGGATGAAAGTTTTCTGTGTTTGTCATTAAGAAGGAAAAAGAATAAAGACGGGTAACTGAGCTCCATTTCAGATAGCCTGATTAAAACCTACTGATGTCTCCAGCTTTCAGCCCAAAGTCAACTCTTCACCTACATTCAGATGTCAGGTGATTTTTTAAACTTTTTTTAATATATCAAAAATCTACTAAGAGCAGTCAGTCTGCATCAAATCACAAAATAAAGACCACAGTTTGCTTCCTGCTAGTTCATAGGAACTAGTTATCTTACCATCAAATTCTATAGTCTCCAACATAATAGAATTGTTATAGGTTTGGGGGAGGACCCCCCTACCCGTAGAAATTAATAAATGGTAGGATTTTGATGATTTGGGATATGAAGGGAGAGATACAAACTGCAGAGGGCTTCCTGGGCTAGCCTATGCAAAATGACCTAGCCAAGGTAGGGCCATTAAGAAACAATAAGGGCTACTGAGTCTAGTGCCAGCTCAGTTTCAACCAGACATCTCTTCAGAGCACTGCCCTTTGTAAAGTAGGACTTTATTCTTCCTACATTTCAGGTACATCCATCATCACAGCCCAGAGCTATGATCTGAAGATATGTGATGTAACAGCTTTGTTGATGCAGTTCTGGGTATGGTCAGTACCTGAATGGAAGATCACCTGGGAATCTGATCAAGCACAACTTGAGGAAAGGTGACATACAAATAACTGATGTAATAACTTTACATCCATATGCTAATGAAGTATACGAGATCTTATTAAGAGAGAGGCTTTATGATGCAACCAAATGGAAACCTAATTACTCAGAATCTGATTCAATTTCATTGTAGGTTTCAAATTCAAATTGACGTTTTGCTTTCAGGTAAACCCTGAAGATGTGGAAGGGGGAGGGAGGGGAGAGAAAGAGAAGTTGTCAGTGGAAATGATCTGATTGAAAATGTTATCAAAAATCAGAACAAAAGTACGAGAAGCCTTCTCTGCACAGGGGCTCAGTGACCCAACAGACTCTTCACACTATGATACCTGTGATTCTACTCTCTTTTTCCTTTTGCCATCTGTAAAGCAACTTTTAAGAAATAATTCCAAAGCAAAGGTGCTAAGGATTTATGATCAAATAAAATGGCATGCTTTGAATTTTGCCCTCCCTTCTGCCAGCATCCTAGCAGAAGTGAGAGCAAAAACAATGCCGTCTAATTGGCTGCAGGTGTAAACAAAATGAATCCAGACCATTCTGTGCTTTTCAATCACCTATGCAACTCAAATTGCCAGAAGCTACATTCCTTTTACGTTTCCATAGCAACAACCCATCCTGCAATTGTCAGTAATTAAAATTAGCTCCACAATTTAGCATAATTCCACAAGGCTCTGCTATATTGTATAAAGGTAGTGGAGATGATGCCCGATTTGCAAGTCTAACAAACACAATTCAATCTCCTTCTTTGGTAGCTCTGTTTAAGTCAACTGAACATCAAGTATAAGAAGCTGTGGGTGGTATTAGCAGCTCTGGAGGAACTGTTCAAAATATTACTTGAGATGTTAATCTAAGCATTGGGGTAATCCTTTGGTTGAAATACTATGCAAGTGATACCTTTAAGGGCCAAAATAAATGACAGAGTGGACACATGTATGCATTTAATGTTTCTGATTTTTGTTATTTATAGAGCGATTACTGGTGGGGGTTGCAGTCTCAGGACTGGGGCTGCACCAATGAGAGGGTTAATTATTTCCTCTGCTCCACAGTCCTGATGAAAATCAATGCCTCCCCTCCAGCTGCTATTTAGGCCAGCATTAGGAGGGAAGCTTCCATTGGCACTAAGGAATGAACTTGATGCCAATGGAAGTTGCCTTCTGGGGTAAATAGCAGCTGCAGGGTTTATTATTATTATTATTATTATTATTATTATTATTATTGGGACCCTGCTGTGGCCAAAAAGTCTTAAATCCCATGGTCTTGATCCTGTGCCCTGAGGTTGCCTTTTAAATAGCCAAGATCAGACATATTAAGTGCATCACATTTGACCGTAAGTTACCACTGACACAACCTATGCTTTTTGTTAATGGGATCACTGCAGGCAACTGTAATCAGGGTATTATTAAACAGCAGCTCCAACACCACCTCCAACCTCCACACACAGGTTGTTCTTTGTGCACAGAGCCAGCAGTGTCTGTGCAATCTACAACCTCCAAAATTGGAGTCTACATGGCAGAGGCCCACATGCGCACAGCCACCTGCATTATTCAGAATAAATGCTCAGAGAGGGAGGGTGTGCTCCACAGGTATGGTGCTGTCCCCCTCCCTCCATGCATTGATTGTATCCTATCGTCAGTCCTTTGCACAGGGCAATTGAGTATTTCATTGTTTTTAACCTCTCTCTCATTGCAAGTTCTCCCATGGAACGGAATTATGGACAACGGCCAATTCAGCTTATTGTTCATCTTCCAGTGAGGAGCAAGCTTGCCAGCCAATTTAAAGAGGCTGCGAATGCATCTGAAGAGCAAAAGGAACAGCTGGAGACCTGGAAAGGTTTCCCTGGTCTGATCCCAACTGAACATATGTTCCTTCTGCCTAAGGGCTTCTCCAGATGACTCGTTTATTGAGCATTCATCCTGATTTGCTTGCACAGGCTTATGTGGTGCTTAGGCTGTATCAGTGGTTCCGATTTGTTTACAGGGCAATTCTATTCCATCCATCCATCCATAAAGGTAAAGGTCCAGTTGTGGACGACTCTGGGGTTGTGGCGCACATCTCGCTTTATTGGCCGAGGGAGCCAGCGTACAGCTTCCGGGTCATGTGGCCAGCATGACTAAGCCACTTCTGGCGAACCAGAGCAGCGCACGGAAACGCCGTTTACCTTCCTGCCAGAGTGGTACCTATTTATCTACTTGCACTCCGTGCTTTCGAACTGCTAGGTTGGCAGGAGCAGGGACCGAGCAACGGGAGCTCACCCCTTCACGGGGATTCGAACTGCCGACCTTCTGATCAGCAAGCCCTAGGCTCTGTGGTTTAACCCACAGTACCACCCGCGTCCCCCATCCATCCATAGATTTAATAAAATTAAGAAAGTAAAAAGAGCCTGCTGGATCAGGCCAATGGCCCATCCAGGCCAGCATCCTGTTCTCACAGTGGCCACACAGATGTCTCTAGGAAACCTGCAAGCAGGACACAAGCACAAGAGCACTGTCTTCTTCCATGGTTTCCAGCAATTGGTATTCAGAAGAATTGATGCCTCTGACCACAGAGGCAGTACACCATTTGGGAGAGAAAGAGAGAGAGAATATCTTCTTCTTCTTCTTCTTCTTCTTCTTCTTATTATTATTATTATTTTAAGCCCTCAAATAAATTTACAAATATATATATATAACAATGACATTACTAGTAAAAAAAAACAGTAAAAAAAGTTTTTAAAATGTTCAAAAATAATTAAAATCAACAATAAGCTGAAAACAAGTCAACATTTAGCTTCCCTAAACAAAAATGTTTCAAGGACAGTTAGCATTTATCCTGCATTCACCCTGTTTTTCCTGCAGAGTATTTACATGCCTCCCTCTTTATCATTTGTTTATACAACATTTTCAATGTATTTCCCTGTCACTTTCCAAACTGCAAAAACATCTATTTTAAAAAAGGTGGAATTGTTGTGCTAGCACTACAGAGCACATTAATCAAGTTTAATTTCACAAACTGGTAGTTCTTGCATGTACTTGAAACCCTCCTGTGAAATACTGCCAGTCTTGAGGCACCCTAAGGATTTGTTTCTTTACTTAATCCTTAGCATTTATATAGTATATTTCAAGTGTCCATAATACTGCCTCTCTTAATAATACTCACAAAAGCCCTGTGTTCAGCACAATCTGCATTATTACCTTTATTTTGCAGGTGCTTAGACTGAAAGAATGGTGCTTTGCGGAAGGCTACCTGGTGAATTTGTGATACTTATTGATTCCGGTTCATCAGCTAAATGAAGAAAAGCCTGGATCATGGTATGAAAGCCATCTCAATGCCGCGAACACCTAAATATGCTTAGGAGTCCCTAACCTTCCTCTGCATAGGCCAGGTATCCCCAAACTCGGTCCTCCAGATATTTTGGGACTACAATTCCCATCATCCCTGACCACTGGTCCTGTTAGCTAGGGATGATGAGAGTTGTAGTCCCAAAACAGCTGGAGGGCTGAGTTTGGGGGTGCCTGGCATAGGCTGTTGATGTTTAGCAATAAAATGGGGGTGACGTTCTTCTTCCTGCACATCTCAAAATCCTAGACAGTACATTTCCTTGTCAAAGCATCTCAATTTGCATACAAATTCATTTTCACAGCATACTGGAGCAAGAACAGTTGCCATTCGTCTCTCTTTTCCGTATGCAGAAAAAGGACCCAGAAAAACAACCCTACCTTTCTTACAGAGAAAGTCAAGTAGTGGCAGAAAACTAGACATTCTTAATGCCTGGGATCCAACAACATTAAAGAAAGCCTAGCAGAAATAAAACTAAAGTGCGTTGAAAATGACCTTTTAAATGTTACGTTACTCATCTGGTCGATGTAATTATATTGAGTGTAGCTGTTGATACATTAATCAAATGCTTCCTGATTTAAAAGCCTGCCATTTTCAGAGTGCCAGCTAGACTGGCTGAAGCCCCTCGACCCTCTTATTCCACAGCATCCCCAAGATACAATTACAAAAAGACAATTCCACAGTAAGGCCCAGGGCTTGGGGCCAATGTGTATCCAAGGAGGTGCATGTCATTGCTCAGACAATGACTTGTGGCCTCATTTAGCAGTTTCTTCTTAGATGTCTACCAGCTTGCAGCTTAATGAATTTTAGAGCTTCTGTTTTTCTGACAGCTTTGGTATGGAAGATTAAAGATCATATTCATAAAGCATTTTTGTTGCGCATGCTGTATGAGAGGTCCAGTACTGGGATATGACATCAAATTATGTCATTAATTCTTAAACTTTTTAAAAGGGGGTATAAATGGCAGTCTGGTGATTAGGAGACCAAAGCGGCTACAATATTAAAATACATTTCCTTTTGACAGACAGACAGACAGATACAGTGTTGGGGGGTGGTTCTAAAAAAATGTTTAGGGGTACTCTCATTTTCCTACTCATATTTAAATACTGCCACTCAATGAGGCCAAACTTAGATTCACAAAATGTTTAAAGGTATGCGTCCCCCTGTGTCCTCCCAGAAAAAAGCACCGGATAGATAGATAATCTCAGGGTCCAGGTAGGTTCATTATTTGATGAATGCATTTGACTTATGGACTGATTTAGGGAGTGATGGTCTGTAAACCACTACTAACTGACCTCCGCTTGGTCATGTTGCTGCTGCTTACCAGGAGGTGGAGAGGGAGGCATGAGGCAAAGGCGAAATCAGCCCAGTGAAAATGCATCAGCGCACTGGGTTTGCACCACATCAACCTTGCCACTGCCTTGCTCTACCTCGCCTTACGCAGCAATGCAGCCAACCAGCGTGTGGCTGCTTCACCACTGCATCTTCTGCTGTCAGTAACGTATATGGATTCCAAGCCATGATGTGCTTTAAATGTGCTGTACCTTTAAGTAAGATCAGGAGCACAGTGTCAGCCTGTGTAAATGATGAAGAACAGCTTGGACAGAGCCATATGTCCCAATATTTATAAGAGGTCAGGCATCCACATTTTGCAGTAAACAGAAGTTCCCAGGCCATCTTCAAGGGCAGTTCCGCTTAGAGTATATTGTCGTAGTCTATCTAAGAAAGAAGTGGGTATGTTGTACAAGAGTTCCTGGTCGACTTTTAGTTGTGCAGTCTGAATTTGCTGGTATGTGACTGAATCCCACCCAAAAATAGCAATAGTATGGAAGCCCCAGATGCAATTGAAGACAAAGACCAAACCATTTTTTAAAAATGCCACTACAAAATTCCTTTAAATATATATATATATTTTCCAAGATAAAGATTGATCAAAGTGTCATGAAATGAAATGATAAAGGGATGTTGGTGTACACAAAGATGAGAAAGTCATTTTGAAATATACATCACTCTTCAAGTAAAGCGTGTCACATTCACAGTTTTTTTAATACAATCATACCTCCTTCATAAAGGAAATTTACTACACAATAAAATTAATATCAAGCTCCAGCTAGTCTCTTCAAGAACTGGATCAAAACGAAAAATGAACGTGTGGCTAAACCCATCCTCACCCAAGCTTTGATTTTCTTTTTTAAGTTAAAGATTCAGTTCATTGCAAGAGGCTGAATTTTCTGGAGCTTTTAAGATTAGCAAGAGCTTGGAACTCATCCATTACATAAGCAACAATCTCTCAGTTTTGTTTACTGCCCAACAAATGGAGCATTTTTCTTTCCTATGTACAAAGCCAATTGAAAAGCATTCAATAATAATATGCTAATGCATGGCTATCTTGCTCTCTCCATCGTACATTTATCCTGAGCTGACCTCTGCTTCCACAGCAAGCTATGCATTAAGCACTTGTATCTAATCCTCTAATTCTTTTTTATTATGTGGCCAGGTGCAGCCTCTTTTGATATGGCAGAGGCTTAATGAACTGTACAATGTTAACAAAATGGTGCCTGACGCCAAGTGGCGTTCTTTCAAAGAGTCAAGGAATTGTGTAAAGTGCTCACCGTTCCCCCACTGCCAAGACAGCATATATTATCTAACAAAGAGCAACATTAAACAGGGGAGACGAGCGGGGGCGGGGGAGCTTTTCAAAGCATCCAGACAGGGCATTTTATGTCAAAGAGAGAGAGAGACAAAGTCACATTGCAGGTTAATTCTGCATTACCCTGCAGAGTGTCCATTTGAAATCAGATGTGGGTAGCTCCAGCAATGGGTGATGTGCCCAATGATGTTGTGGGTGGGAATATATACCAATATCTCAATCACCACTTCCTTCTTCATTCACTTGGGGCATGTGCAGGGACAAAAAAGTGTGGATGAACTAATCAAGGAGTGGGTTTTGAAATGTGTATCAAACAACTACACACACCCACACACCCCTTGTGGATGGCATGGTCTAGAATCAACCTAGACTGAAAGCAACATGTTGATGACAAGCATGAACAATTCCAGATTTAGAAAAACTACAAGTTAGTGTGTAAGCAGCCTTAGTCATGCTTTAATCTGACTGAAGTTAGTTGCGGCTGATTTATATACAGTGGTACCTCGGGTTACATACACTTCAGGTTACATCTGCTTCAGGTTACAGACTCCGCTAACCCAGAAATATTACCTCAAGTTAAGAACTTTGCTTCAGGATGAGAACAGAAATCGTGCTCCGATGGCGTGGCGGCAATGGGAGGCCCTCATTAGCTAAAGTGGTGCTTCAGGTTAAGGACAGTTTCAGGTTAAGAACGGATCTCCAGAACGAATTAAGTACTTAACCTGAGGTACCACTGTATATCCCATTAACTTCAGTGGCACTCTAGTGAAACTAGCCTCTCTTTTTTATATTCAGGACAAGGAGTTGTGTTGCCCCAGAGCTTTCTTGAACTATGCTTACTGATTAGAACAACATATATGTTAGCACTGAACTTTTACAATGTTCCACTACAGTTCCAGAAGTGGCTTTTACGTCATGTGAAAACTAAAATGTTGTTACAAAAGTTGGGTGCCTCCCCCTCTCTCTGCCAAGCAGTGGCAAGAGCCCATGGGGTTCCAGGCACTCACCCAGGGTCTGTGGTCCTTTGGAGAATTGAGACACAGCAGAGACAGCCGTAGCTTCAAGAAATATGGTTTATGCACCTATTTACACCTTCAGTGTGCATGGAGGGAGCCCAGATCTTATAGCATGATCATTTCAAGAGAGAGTTGTCCCCCACAGCAGTGCAGCCATGGAGCCCAAGGCATCTCTTCCAGCCAGCCTTCAGCCAGCCTGCCCAACATGGATTCCAGCCCTTCCTCCTCCTTCCCAGAATTCCTTGCTATCAAACTCCTTTTTCCTGTCACCTCAAACACAGTTTCCCTGGTAACCTTCCAAACCGCCCCCCCCCCCCCGGTCTATGATCACACCTCAGGTTGGGGCGGGGAAGGAGGAAAGTTTTCTTGCATTGCCAATGGCCCTGTATTGTTTCTTAATGGCCCTTAATGGTCAAGCCATTTTGCATAGGCTAGCAGAGGAATATCTCAACTAAGCAGAATCCTAACACTTATTAATTTCTAGGATTTAGGGAGGTCGCACCCTCAAACCTATAACACTATAATATGGAACTTAACAGTTAGGGGAAAGTCATGAAAATGGAATAAACTACCATGTGAATGCAGCCCAAATCTGTACCAGGCTGGTATAGATTTGCTTTGACAGTTTGAGCATGAGGCTGAAATCAGTTCCTGCTTCAATCAGTTTGTAATGTAAATGCATAACTTTCATAAGCATGTTCGTTCACATGATGAGTACCCTCTCTCCTTCCTTTCTCGCATTGTGATCAAATGATCACACAATTAGCATAAGAGAAGCTCAAAAAAGCTATAGAAGCCTCACTGTGGAGAACATTCTCTGACTTGATATGTGGATTATATACCCCGCAAGTGTCTTTTGCCTGAAATATGCATGATACAGATCAAATAAATAATAATAAATAAAAGGAACCTGACAATACAAAAAGGGGCCCTTTGTTCTCTGTTTTCCCATTACGTTTGAAAACAACATCAGACACTAGGCAGCAGGCATAGATATCAATAGAATTTACAAACTAGCCTGAGAAAATCAACAACACAGAATCTTGTGTCCCTTTAAAGACTAACAAAATTATAACGCCATAAGCTTTCATGGACTCCACACGCCACAAAAGTTTATGCCATAATAAATTTGTTACATTTAAATTTATCAGTCCTTTAGGGGACACAATGCACTTTTTTATTTTTGCTGCAACATATGTTAACAGAGCTACCCCTATAAGAGATGAGGAATTTGAAATACAGTACATTCAAATGAAAATTTCCATTATAGAATATTCCATTGAAATGTATTAGATGATGCTGAGTGATATGAATGTAATACAGTGGTACCTCGGGTTACAGACGCTTCAGGTTACAGATGCTTCAGATTACAGACTCCACTAACCCAGAAATAGTACCTCGGGTTAGGAACTTTGCTTCAGGATGGAAACAGAAATTGCGTGGCAGCGGCAGCGGGAGGCCCCATTAGCTAAAGTGGTGCTTCAGGTTAAGAACAGTTTCAGGTTAAGAACAGACCTCCAGAACGAATTGAGTTCTTAACCCAAGGTACCACTGTAAATAAAGCCTATAGTTATACAGAGATATAGGTAAGTATTCATTTCAGCTGGTCAGAAATAAGCATTGATTGACTGACTGACTGACTGACTGACTGACTGATTGATTCTGATTTGCTCTGCCCTGACTCCAAGCTATTGAAGAAAAGGAGAAAGCAATTCCCTGAACATTTTTAATGTGAGTAACTGGGTCTTGTAATTTTTAGCTCAAATGTCTGCTGCAAAGTTGAGTCTAAAGAAGAAGAGGAAAAAGAGTTTGGATTTGATATCCTGCTTTATCACTACCCGAAGGAATCTCAAAGCAGCTAACAATCTCCTCTCCCTTCCACCCCCACAACAAACAATCTGTGAGGTGAGTGGGGATGAGAGACTTCAAAGAAGTGTGACTAGCCCAAGGTCACCCAGCAGCTGCATGTGGAGGAACGGAGACACGAACCCGGTTCACCAGATTACGAGTCTACCACTCTTAACCACTATACCACACTGGCTCACTGGCCCAGGGAAATCAGAGGTGGTTGACTTTCTGGGTCTTTTACACTGAAAAAATACTTTCTGCAATCTGTTCATTGCCAACTGTTTTCATTTAGTCAGCTGACATGTAGAGCTGAGTCAAAACACTATCCCGTTTTGCAGTCCCGTTAATAAGCTCAAAAAAGGATGCCTCTTTTTCTGGAATTTCTGGAAGGGCTACAAACTGGGGACAAAAATGTTTGCCTGTTCTGAGTAAACACAATTATTTCCTGTCCTTGCTTGGAATTAGCTTCATGACATCACATAGGCAACTCTGATTGTGTACATGATGTGATGTCACATTGGCTATGCAGTTCTCCATTGGCTGGGATCATATAGAAGATGGAGGGAATTATTCAAACTAGGGGGGAAATTTACGATGGGAGCTGCCAACTGAATAGTGAACAATCCTCAAATGAAAGTAAAAAGGAAGGTGTTGGCAGGGGGCATTGCCTGGAAGGGAGTGTTGCATGGGTTGTGAGCATTCAGTACAACCTATTTAGTTAACAAACTTTATATGTCAGTAGTAAAACACCTAAGAAGTTTACAAGAAATGTTAATATTACCAATAAAAATATAAAAACATTTTTAAAATAATTAGAAAAAGAAATTAAAACACATATACATATAATGCACATATAAATGCTCATTTTTCCATGAGTGAGTGTTTGCATAAAAGTAGTTTACAGATTTGCTTAGATGCCTATAAACTTTCTCACCATGTTGGGCCAACTAAATGTATATTTTTATCAGCATTCTCAAATTTTATTAGTCTAGACATCTGAGCCAGAGTAAACACAGTTATAGATTAAATGTCAGAACAAAGTTCATCCTGATCGTTGTTCACCCAGATGAACACTGCAGCCTTATAAATTTGTCATTATCCACATAGAGACAAGGGTGGCTTTTGAATCCGTTCCCAAGCAGAATATCTGTTCCCTAGCAGGAGGTCTTAAACAGGCCACCAAAAGCAGAAATTGCTCTTGGCAAAACGGAGTTTTCTTTAGCCAAAAAAAGTGAAAGAATACAAATCACAAAGCAACCATTATCTGTGTTTGCCGCAACACAGTTTCTGAACATCCTTGGAATTAATGCCATCTTATGCCTGAGGTGAATGACTCTTTTTTCCAGTGGATATAGATTTCTCAAACAGAGCGTGTTTTCATTCTCATCTCCTTCCTATCTTTGCTGTAGGCCTTAATTAAGACAACCAGTTTAGCTCCTCAGTTATTGTTCCATGGCACTGGAAGCTAGTCCATTAGGGTGAACAGGGCATCGCCCCACCAACCTTTCTCTGTCTTCAGTCAGCCCTCACCTGTCTACCTTCTTGTTTACAACCAGCTCCGAGCCTGTCATTGGCTCTAGCTCCACCAATTATTGTTGGCCTCCCAGCCTTCTGCTCCATCAGTTCCTATGGGCAGCAGCCACTGCTGCCAACACCCATCTCAAACCCCAAACATCTGCAGGTCTGCCCAGATGTTTGCCCTATGGGTCTGAGGGATTTCTTCCTAAGGAGGTCATCCACAGAACCTTTTGGCAGTATAACAGACCAACACAGAAACTGTTTTGTAAAGCAAGTGACTCCTTTTTTGCTTTAATGTCAAAAGAGACCCCGTCTCTATTTCTCTTCTATAAATGGTAGAAGTCTACCAATCTGTTCTCAGATAATTGTGTGTGTGTGTGTGTGTGTGTGTGTGTAATCCTTCCTGCCAAACCATTTGATCGGACAAAAAAAGAAAAACAAAAAAGGACCACCAATTTAACAACATAAATTAATTGCATAAAATTGCCTTTCTAAATGTTCTGAACTACACAGAAAGAGAGGTAAGGAAAAACCCTTCAAAAAGCTCAGAGGGAAGTGCACCACAATTTATTCTGAGCAAACAGAAAAAGCTGAAAAGTTAACACTTGGTTGTTGTTCATCAGTTATTTAAAAATCCAGAGCTACAACAGATCCCAGCAGATTTGCAGACTCATTGGTATAGTGATATGCATTTCAAAAGTTCTCTTAAATGTGACTACTATGTCTGATTGCTAGGAGGCACTTTTAGAAATGGATAAAACTATTTCTTAAATTGTTACGCGTTTTCAGTGAACTTAGCCTTTTCAGCAACAAAGACCATTTTGTCTAGCCATGATGCCAGAGAAAAACAAGCAGCTTTGGAAAATGTGTCCACACTAATGTACAGGTAAAGACAGAATTGCATTGGATTGTGGGTTTCAATCACTGTGAAGTGAGTCCGAGGAAAAATCAACCAAATTTTTTCCTCATAAAGAAATAGAATGTACACGTGTTGCTGAAAATGTTGCGTGAAAGCAGATAAAAAATACAGCATTGGAAATTCAGGGTGTGCACATTAAACGTGTGAACATTCTCTAACACTGAGAACAGAATTAACCCCTTAAGCTAAAACTGAATGATCCCTGCTGCTGCACTATATGGACAACCCCAAAGCATGCTGAAACCAGCTGTTAAAAAAAATAATCACATTTTCTCCAAACAACCCTCTTGGAGCTTGTTTCTTTGTAAGAAAAGTGACTTTGTGGCTGTGCGGCAGAATAATTAAACTTCCTGCTTCTGTTAAAAAGAAAAAGAGTAATGTGTTTTGAACGACTGCACTATATGGGGTATAATCAGCAGTCCCATATTTAGCAGCAAAGACAATGAACATCACTTAAGAAAAAAATAGCTTTCTCGTTATCTCTCTGGCTAGGCAATCCAAGTTGCTCGCGCTTAGGAGGTAGGTATTGCCACAGAGTTGGGTTAATAGCACATGAAGCACAGTGCAGTGAAACAGAAAAGTAAGATTATTCAGCAAGGCTGAAACTTAAGACTTCTTTCCTAGCACAGGGACCTATTCAAACAAAAATGCAAACACCACGGCCTCTGCAAGTCAACACAAAGGACAAGAATACAGCAGCGTTTAGCATGAAGTCTTTGGCTGTTGAAAAGAACGAATCTTATTTCTCCAAGGCAAACAGCAAGCATTATTGTGGGAGCCAAGAAGGAAAACTTGAGTAAGAGGTCAGCACACTGAAGCTGAAGTTGCCAGCGATAAGCTTACAGGAACATCTGGCAATTAAATTTGACTGTTTGACAGGTCTGCACATTTATGAGGTGTAGGAACAAAGTAGTCCGTGAGATATAAGCAAAGAAAGCTTGTCAACTGGTCTGTTTTGCAAATGTACGCATCTGCCTTATGCTATTTTTAGACTATACCTTCAGGGAAGGCACAGACTTTTTCAATTTCCCCAGTGCTTGGACGTAACCCCAACTGCAATGTGCCACAAAGATAAACAGAAGAGGAAAACTCAATTTGCAGTCTCTCATCACTTTACAGCGAGAGGTTGCACTTTTCCAGATGCTGCTCTTGGAGAGGATCTTTGGATGGCACACGTGTCTTTAGACAATGGATCAGCAGGTTTTCATGGTATCCCTATGTAAAGAACGGAAATTATAATTCGCTTTTGAGTTGTGGCTGTTATTCACCATGCCACCTAGAGGGGGCCTATGGAATTTGCTGCAGGAGCCTTTCACACACACTGTTCCGGGGCTGCACCTGAACACGCAAAGCATGAATACTCCAAAATAATTCCATTGCACATATATGCTCTGCAAAGAGCTGGAACTGGCAGCTTGTCACTCTGCAGCTGACCTGAGCCAGCTGGTACAGTTTACATGAGATGCTTATTCAGATGCTCCACTACTAGAGGAATACTTTTCATTCTGCTATTTCATACAGGGCCACACCCATATATGAGTGCAAGAATGGCTTTGCCTATCACCCTTTTGGCTAGGACATGTTTGGCACAGTGTAACTGCCACTGTATTGCTTCTTCCAGGCAAGTCAAGGAATGAGCTCTGTGGAGCAATCGGGTTATCTTCTGGCCTCAGGAAGGTTGCCTGAACTCTATCTGGAGGGAGGGAGAGAGGGAAGGAGGGTGGTGTGGTTGCCTTTGACTAGTGCAGAAATCCAAGTCCCACCTTCCACGTAGCACCCATAGTTGCATTGGGATGCTTAGAGACACCTTCACTAATGAGATGTTTCAACCAAGTGTCTTCCCAAAGTTTCACCAACTAGCTTGATACTAATGAGGTGGCAGTTTTGTTGCAGTGAACCTGGCATCGTGCTGCTGAAGTAAGGAACAAAACCATAAATTATCTTGCAGCAATTCCCTGGCAACCTGAACCACAAGATTCACAATGTAGTTCAACTCCAAATTGTCTCCTAATTGTGTTCCTCACTAGCAAGCCAGAAGTATACATCAAAGAGCAATCCAGGTTACTCTGTCAACCATCATTTAGCTGATACACCAGGACTCCGAGGGGGTGATTAGCCAGCAACTAGCTTGATTTAGAGTTGTGGGTCAGGATGTACCAAAACATCCTTAATGCTGCTAGCACAAGTGTTGTTCCTTTTGTCAGGGTGGCATTTTCAAGAGGATGTTTATTGGCTGCAGAACGTTCTTCCAGATGCAGCTGTTACCATGGCAGGTTCGCTGGAAGAAAAGCTAATTAGAAGACATTAACAAAAAATTAAAGGTAGCTGAGAGCAACGCTGTGTCCAATTTATTTGGAAATTCTTAGAGGGGGGGAATCTTGGTGAAGTGTGTGTGCTTTTTAAAAGGATTAACAGTGCAATCCTCACCATTTCTGCTACTGGGATGTAAGTCCCACTGAGTTCAATAGTGCTTACTCCCACATAAGTGGGATCAAGATTGCAGCCCGAGTTGCGTTAACACAGCAGAAATACATTAAAATGTCATTTTAAAAGCAAAACATGAGTGCACAGAATTAGATTAACCATCCCTATAGAATAGCCTAAATAATCACCCCCATCTAACCCTTCTCTATTAAGCATTTGGAGGCCTGGTGACAGAGACAGTCTTTTTTCAGCAAGTTTTTACTGTTGGCTAGCTCTTTCCCCTTGTTTGGCAAAACCCTGTCCTCCTCTGCTGTTGGCTATGATCGTGTGCTATTCAGGTTTGTACTGTGTTTACTATTATTTTTTATTGTATTTTACTTATTTTATGTATTACGTTTATATCAATTTTCACTGAGACCCATTTCCTCTTCCAAAGAGGGAATGGCTGAGGGAGCCGGCATACAGCTTCCGGGTCATGTGGCCAGCATGATGACTAAGCCGCTTCTGGCGAACCAGAGCAGCGCACGGAAACGCCGTTTACCTTCCCGCCGGAGCGATACCTATTTATCTACTTGCACTTTGACGTGCTTTCAAATTGCTAGGTGGGCAGGAGCAGGGACCGAGCAACGGGAGCTCACCCTGTCACGGGGATTCGAACCACCAACCTTCTGATCGGCAAGTCCTAGGCTCTGTGGTTTAACCCACAGCGCCACCCGCATCCCTTTTTACTATCTTAGGGGAAATTTAAATAGCACCTTATAGACCAACTAAGTTTGTTCTGGTACAAGTTTTTGTGTGCATGCACACTTCTTCAGATACCTGAAGGAGATAGACATGTCAATAAATGGCTTTAAATACTCAATCAAAGGAGTTTTAGTGCCACAAAATGAAATGGAACGGGGTTCTAACATATAAGAATCCTATCAAAGCAACATTTGTTTTCATTAAAATAGGCAGCAATATAAACATTGTGGAACTTACTGGAATTCAGTATAAATTGTGTGTGTCAGAGTCTATGGTGTGAGCAACAGGAGAAGGGGGGAACCAAAAATAGGCCTTTGCATTCTCTCAAGCTAAAATGATGTGGCGACTGGAGAATTAAAAGATTCTTGGAATAAAGTGCACATTGATTCGAAACAACAGAGTAAATCCCAGCAGTCAAATCAAAGTACGGCCCATTGCCTCTTGAAAGAACACTGTTGCTATTAACCAAACAAGAAATTACGGTATCAATAGAGCATTTGTTATGCCTAATGTCACCTTCCACTGTTATGATTTGCATATAGAGAGGAATCAGTGTACCAATCCATCTGCAGTAAAGTATGACATTCCAGGCCCTTCGTGGGCTGAACCATCCCAAGGGCCGTTAAGCAAGCTTGCCCTACCGTGGGTGTGGAAAGACCCCCACGTTTTGACTGGGAGGCAGGCACAGCAGGCTGTCAAACCATCACTTAACATAAATAATCTGATGACACGTGAAGCTTGTCCCCAAATGACTCACAAAACAGAACTTAAGACAAACTTTTGGCCAGACATGACATGCTGCAGTGTATATTCAAATGTGATGGACATGTCTTATTCTCAGAGTCTCTAGAGATAATCTCTTTCCTGATTTGTGATAGTCGGGGTTTCTCAAACTCCAACTATTGTGCTCAGGTTCAGGGTCATAAACCGAAGTGTTATATCCAAGATAACTGTTGTCTGGCTCCACAATACCTGGTACAGTCTGACTGACCGGCTGAGCCATTCATTGTGGAGAATGTTTCATGTTTTATGTCTACCTTCTCTTTCTGATCCTCTTCACTGGCTAGTGTGGGATAGATTCTGTCAGATGGAAGACAGGTGAATAGTTTGGTCTGCCAGGAACAATCAATTTGGGGAATATAGCTAATGATAATAAAAATGGAAATTTCTAAAAATTGTTCTTTGGCAGACATCTGAATTTTAATGTTGTGCTTAGCAGAATATTATAGAAGAATCCTATAATGCATCTCACCTGCATTCTGTAAGCTCAGTAAAATAATATATTAATGATCTTCTCTGAACCATTATAAACTCAACCCTGGAAAGGTATCTAACCATGCCTACTTGGAAGCAGAGCTTATTGCCCTCAACTAGATTCACTTCTGATTAGACATGCATTAGATCAGGCTGTTAGGGTACCACAACCACCATGATTACGATTTTTGTATTTTAAAAATTGTGCATAATTATGCTTGTCTCTGGGATAAATATTACGCTTCCTGATTTTGTTAAGCCAGTCTGGCAAATCATCAGCTCTGAATGGGGAACCAGCCACTCTGGAAATGCAAACATGTTTTTATGGACCTGGATTCCTTAGAAACATACATTGTGTTCCCAAAAGAAAGGTTGATAAAATTATTGGCTGAAAGGCAAGGGCTGAAATTTTACCAACTCGGTGCTGAAAGGCTACTTGATATTGAAGAGTTAGAACACAGTTAATGAGGAGGAACATTCAGTTCCATTTAGCCTTATTCATCAGAATCTACAGCTCCTTTGCTCATTGGGACTTTGGTCTTTTGTTTTTGCTGTTACCGGAGGCAGGGTTCCCTGAATTTTGCTCACAACAACCCATATGCAACTGCATCCTGGAAGCAGCCCATGGACAGTGCCAGATTTACGTATAAGCTAAACAAGCTGTAGCTTAGGGCCCCACTCTCTTGGGGGCCCCCAAAAAATGTAAAGGGAAAAAACTGGATGTATATTTCCAAAATATAAGATAAGATAAGATAAAATAAAACCCACATACCTATTAGGTCCATAAGTTACTATATAGCATATATTCAACAACAAAAAACAGTGACAATTTGTTGTTGACAAAGCACAGCTGGACATATAAAGGGCCCCATTACCTTCAGCAGCTTAGGACCCCATCAAACCTAAATCCAGCCTTGCCCATGGGTCTCTAGAACCAATCTCCTGTCAAAATGGAGGTATTCTCCGCCAGTTAATTTCTTACTGGCCAACCAAGGTTTCTATTCCAAATAGTACTATATTGATAATGTACCTGTGAAAAACCCAAACAGCTTCAAGAAAATTCTGCAGGAATCCCAGTTGCCATTGGTAATTCACTGGTGATATTGTCTTCAGAGTAGCCTGGAGACATCTCCAGAAGCCTGCACCTGGGAATACCACTTGGGCAATCTCAGGGTTGATGGAGGCTTTTTGTTGAGCTATCCCCCAACATTAAACAGGATGAGTCATTTCCATCATATCCAAGAGCACGTGTGCTAGAGGATGGCAGAGTTCAATGGATGTGCAACAAAGGAATCCAATGCAACTGTTGCGCTAGCTAAAGTTTTTGTGTGGATCAGATCGTTCCTGTTGCACAACAATCTCTGGTGACATACTTGTGTTTCCCCCTGCACAGCTATGTTCCACCTGTGCAACAAGTACACCACTGAGTGACTGTGACTTAGCGCTACACTGGATACAGTGCAATCAGTTTGGTTATTTGTGGTTGGGGGAGAAGGGGCTGGCACTTGTCGCTCGGCATCTCTGGCAGCTTCTTAAGTCCTGAGGTCTCAGTTTAAGAAAAGGACATTCAAATCACTCCTTCTCTTCCTTCCTGGGCTCTCTGGCAGGTCTTAGGAGCTCTGAGGATTCTCTCTTTCATTTATTTATTTATTTATGAACAAGACTTTTTAACCTCTTTTTATTACAAAGGGATCACAGAGCGGGGGTTCCAAAAACACTATAAAAGTATGATACAATAAAACAACAAAAAGGATCGGTCATTTATAAAACCATTACAGATTAAGAGCAGCTGTTCAGCATATGCTAATACCTTGAACAGCCTAGATTTCATTCACCAAACATCCAGGAGAACAAATATGTGACAACTAGAACTGGAATTCTATTCCATGCCTCCAGGGAGAGAGAATCCCACAGTCAGAGCGCCTTTACAGAGAAGGCTCGATCCCATGTTATCCCCTGGCATGCAACAGCTGATGGAGGAATGATAAGTAGCTCCCCTAACCATAAAGCCCATGCTGGTTGACATATTCTTCTCCTCAGCCTTGCCCTCCTGAATCTTTGTGGGCAACTTTCTTGCCAAGGCTGACCTCCGCCCACTTCCTATGAAAGGAAGAATGGGAGGTATCCAACACATCTGTCCTGACTTTTGGCTGTGCAATGGAACTTTCCCTCCCTCTCATCTGTTCCAAGCGTTCCCCCAATTCTCCAGAAGTGCAAGGAGGCAGTAAAATTCCAGTGGGCCAGTGGGAATCCTTGACCTAACAGAACGAATGCCTTAGATGCCCCCCACGGCCTTGAAGTAGCATGGGGAAATAATTGTTGCAGGCCATGCTGTCCCATCATTTGTCAGTGCTTCCTTGGCATTTTGCCCTGCCTACTGCATGACAGGATGGACCTAGTTGTCACCACGGCAACCAGGTTTGGTTTTCCCATGCACAAGTGGAGAAACCAAAGCTTTAACTGATGAATCAGTGGAGACCATTATAGTTGCAGAGTGTTGAGTTAATGACAGACTTGTTTGCATTTTGAGGCCACAGTGGTTTTGAGCCATTGTAACTGGACATGAAAAATAAAATGTTTCCTCCTAATAAGGCACAGTGGCTTTTGCTGATTTATCTGTATGTTACCCTACTCCTGTTTCAGTATCCATGAACGGCTCCTGTACTGAGGTTTTGCAAAAAAAAAAAAAAAAGTTTGTTTTTCTAATGATTCACTGATCAATCAGTTGAAAAGTAGATGATCCATCAACCAAAATCATTAATCAGTTGACAGCCCTAACCACAGGGGAGTCTCTCTGACTGCAGCACTGGCTGAAATGAAAGAAAAATGGCAATCTGTGAAAAGTTATCATATCACACAAGACACCAGACTTCAGTCTTTAGTGCTAATGAGGGTTGCCAGACCTCCAGGTCTGACTTGAAGTCTCCAGGGTTCCCTGGTTCCCTCCAGGTGGCAGGTGCAGGACTTGAATCTCCTGGTGGGCAAGAGTGCCTCTAATAATAATAATAAGAAAAAAATATTTAAGAAGACTCCAGCCTGGCAGGAGCTGGCTGCAAATTATAGCATAGACACTCTAGGAGTTCTGCCCTCTTTCGCTCCCCTCTTCCAATCACCTGGGACCTCCTCCATGACATCACCAGGCAATGCCCCAAGTCTCAGGTTTGGAACCTTAAAACTCAGCATCTGGTATGCTCCTGACCTGGCAACTCTCATACTAATCCATTTCTCCTAAAATAGAGCAGACTATATTATTTAACAAAAAGGCAATGCTCTGATTTTTCATCAAGCAGCTTCATCTCCTTGGAGAAGAGAACATCTTTGCATGATAAATGATACAGCTCCACCAAAGCATAATATATTTATGCCACCTACACATTTAGCATTCAGGTTACAAGCTGGGCCATGAGAAAATGAATCCAAGAGAAGGGAATGTAAAAGCTCTGTGGGAGGCCACAGATGGGCCTGAAATGACAACCGTAACGGTTTTAACAGTTACAGTTTTCCTCCGAGAGAGCAACAATTGACCTTGCATTTTGTTTAGCAACTTTTTATTTCATTCATTTTGCATTTCTCTGTTCCTCAAGCCAAGAAATCACAAGGAAAACATCCCCCGTTTCAACGTAATATATAGCCCTTGCAATCACGCTAAGTATCCTCCGCAGAGACAAATACTTCATTGAGGATCTTTGGCTTTGCTTTTGAAGTAGGCCAGAAAGGAATTAATGCATGAAGCATACCAACCCAGCCAACCTCAGAACATACAAGTCGGAAGTTCCAATCTCACGAAGTCTAACAAACTCTGCAAGCCCTTCCCCTCCCTTCCTCTCCAGGCTCTTATCAGTCCAAAACTTCTGCAAATGTTAAATGTGCATGTTCACTTCAAAATCTGGGGATTTGGCCTGGCACAAGTGTTGCTCCATACACGTAGAGGTGAAGGAAAATAACATTTCTTGCACTGAGCTGCATTGATACTTCTGGGTTAGGTCAGCTGCAATAGGCTGTTTTTTGTTTTGTTTTTAATCGGCCCCATCCATCTGCCAGCCCACACAGTCTCTGCCTAGCAAGTTAATAAATAATAAAGCGAGTGAGCTAGACAGGAAGCTAATTCACTGCACTTTGGCCAAGAACAGAGCTCTTAATCATCTTTCCAGCAGGACAGTGATGAAACGAGGATGGCTCTCTCAAAAAGTCTCCTGTAAAATTTAATGCCTCAAGGACCTTACTCTGAAAGATGCCCAACATCACCCTTGACCTAAAGTGATAAGATGATAGGAGTCTAAGGTGGTGGTACATGAGTAAGACACAAAGGAAAAGCTCCAGATTAAGTGCTTTGTCGTGAACAGTGCAGAAACCTCAGTCCTAAATTACTGCTGAAGCCAAGCATGTAACACCATGACCTTGTTAGTCAGCGTCCCTCCTGCTTCCTCAAAGCTATTGCTGCTGCCTTGTTGATACTTTTGCCCTTGTCTCTAGTTGGATTTGTTCCCCTTTTTCTTAAAGTATGGTGACTTTTGTCTATGCTATCTCTGGACTCCTGACACCCACAAAGAGGACTAACAGGTAAGCCTGGACAAGGCTTCAAGTTCACTAACTATTGTTAAATTGACAAACTTTCAGAAACAGGATCAAAGGGTTAGCCACATAAGAGTCAAGGTGATTTGGGAGGAAATGGCTTTTCTGACTTTGCCCAGAGTGGCAGATGTTGCTGGTTATGTCTGGCTAGCCATGCCATTTTTCATGTGATTTGTACCCAAACGCGTTGCAAGTATTTTGCGCAATTCATTTCATTCCTCACCCAGTACCCCAACCTGTTTAGCGTTCCACTTCCAGCTTGGGTTTGAATGCATTGATTATGTTAAAACCAATAGATTTAATGTTAGGAAGGAGGAATGCAACAGTGCCCAAGAGACACCTAGACTAGGAGGTGTCTAGACAAGAATTACGTCACCTCCTTGGCATCAGATGCTAAACAGGTGCCCAAGTCAGGATAAAGCTGTTCTCCAGGTAACACACCCAGCACACACCAACTTTTTCATATTAAAGCACGAGAACTTGCAAATGAAGTTCCATTTCAATTTATCTATGCAGGTTCAGGAAGCGGGATGTCCATCTGATTAACTAGTTACAGAGACCAAAAGGACTATGGGCTTATCAAGAAACCCTAAAAAAGAGTCTCTGACATTTACCATGAGTCATGCAAAATGACCTTTCCAAAGCCAATTTGAATTCTTACATCTTTTATGCACCCTCATCTTCACTGTGACTGTCAGCTCCTCTCTTCCACCTCCTTCTACTGTCAATAAACAGCAGCTCTCTCTGGATCAGACGGCAAATGTGCTCTCAGGATATGACTGAACCAGCACTCCATTGTTAAAGCTCATAATGTTTCCTTTTGTTTGAGTTCCTCTATCATTTCCCCTCATCATATGTCTATTGCTCTTTACATATTTCCAGTATAATCAGTCTTCTGGTCTTTGGGTTAGGTGATTAAAAACGAAAGAAAGCTGAATAAATAAAATGACAGCTGTATGCCTGTGATGAGCCTGCCCTATATTAACACTTCTTGCATCTATTTTAAAGGTTCAAAATTCCATTTTCATGCCTGCTGAGCCCAGAACATCAGTCCCACTCGTGAGAGCTGTCCATTACCTAATAAGCAAAACCTAACTGTCCCTCCTGCTTCCAAGCTGTATTAACCAGAGTTAAAGTTTCTTCATTCACCACCTTAAGTATCCTAAATGTGCTAGAAGAATTTATCTATTCCTGGTCAAATTAAAGAAGTGAAATATATATATATATATATTTCCCCTGCATCCATTAACTGGAATTAACACCAGAACCTGATATTTACATGGACTTTCCAGGACGGGTTTGGGCCATGGTGAAAAAAAATTTCCAGCACCCGGATTTAGGGATCGCAGTCCCCTAAATCCGCAGCTGCTTCTGTTCCCAAGCATCTTGCAATTCAGAGGCATCCTGCAGCAGAGCCTGGTTGTGACAGAGGATGAGCTCTAAAAACACAGAATATGCAAAGGAAGGCAGGCACAGTTTGGTAGGCACAGTTGCTATTTAAAAGGGCCTCAAATGGCTCTCCCAGTTTAATCGTCCATGCAGAAGTAAATCCAACAGAGTTCAATGGGAGTTACTTACAGAAGTATGTGCAGGAGTGCAGCTTCAGAAACATACAGTACACTCCCAACCCCCTTTGGGACTATCATTAGACTGCTTGCTTTTTCGCTTGTTTGTTTTTGTGTGTGTGTTTGTTTTTTGGTCTTCCAACTCAAATGGAAAGCAGAAACATGGGTGCAGCCAAGGGGGGCCTCCCTCCAGATCAAATAAGAAAATAGAAACATTTAACTGACCAACTGACCAATCATGTTGGTTTTGCCTCGCCTAACAAAGGCCTCCCCCCCAAAAAAATCCTGGCCACACCCATGAGCTGAAGTTCTAATGCATGTAATAAATATATAAAATGGCAAAACACGTTTCAAATTCAAAAGGGGGAAGGAGGAGGAGAAGAAAGAGGAGGAGTTTGGATTTGATATCCCGCTTTATCACTACCTGAAGGAGTCTCAAAGCGGCTCACATTCTCCTTTCCCTTCCTCCCCCACAACAAACACTCTGTGAGGTGAGTGGGGCTGAGAGACTTCAGAGAAGTGTGACTGGCCCAAGGTCACCCAGCAGCTGCATGTGGAGGAGCGGAGACGTGAACCCGGTTCACCAGATTACGAGTCCACCGCTCTTAACCACTACACCACACTGGCTCTCACTGGTTTTCAGCACTGAGGATTTCGGTCACCCCCACCTAACTCTTGACTAAGACTACTTGATCCCATTGGCTTCGAGATTCAAAATGGGCTGTCCTATCCTATAGCCCAGCTATACTGGCAGCCACAGTTATACCACTGCAAGGGGCTTAGTAGCTGTTTATACTCATCCAACAGGCATAGTTCAAGGACAGACTTGTGCTATAAGCTGGAAAGAAGAATCACAGGTAGCTCAGTGGTAGAGAATCAGTTTTGCATGTAGAAGGTCCCAGGTTCAAACGCCAGCAACTCCATGTAGGACTGGGAAAGACACAAGCTGGCCAATGGTCATAGACAATACTCAGCTAAATGGGCCAATGGTCAAACTTGATACAAGGCAGCTTTCCTTGGATGCTGTGAAACACTAAAGAGGAGCTTGGGCAGTTCATAAGAAGGTAAGCTTTGCTCGGGTATTCACAGGATCTCCAGAGGTATTACGTGGATATTTTAAACAATACTTCAGAGACACTTTGACTCGTATATGAAATATTTCCTAACAGAAAGTGGAGAAGATGGATGTTATCATGGACTGAATGTCTTCAATACTTTTTTCCCCTCCCTTTTTATGTAACTGGCAGATGAAAATGCCAGTCTCAGGGTGAGAGGCTGGAAGGAGAAAGGAAAGATCCCAGGTGAGAGCTGGGAGGGGCTACTAACTTTTATGGGTGGTAAGGGCCTATATATATATATATATATATATATATATATATATATATATATAGTATTTTTGTCACTGTTGTCTTATGGTAGTATGAAAACCTTTCATAAAATCTTACTGTGCAACGGGGGGCAGGGAGTATACTTTACCAGTGACAGCAATACCTTGGATTAGCTACAACACCATATGGTAGAAATCTGGTTAGGGGCAGGAGTGGTGCTGTGGTCTAAACCACTGAGCCTCTTGGGCTTGCCGATTGGAAGGTCGGCGGTTCGAATCCCCGCAATGGGGTGAGCTCCTGTTGCTCTGTCCCAGCTCCTGCCAACCTCAGTTTGAAAGCACACCAGTGCAAGTAGATAAATGGGTAACACTGTGGTGGGCAGGTAAATGGTGTTTCCGTGCGCCATCACGGTGCTCCGTTGCACCAGAAGAGGTTTAGTCATGCTGGCCAGATGACCTGGAAAGCTGCTGTGGACAAACACCGGCTCCCTCGACCTGAAAGCGAGATGAGTGCCACAACCACATAGTCAACTTTGAGTGGACTTAACCATCCAGGGATCCTTTACCTTTTTAAAAAACAAAACATCAGATGGATGTGGCATTATGGCCTTGGAAAGAGGATCTGAAATTTGTATTTAACACACACACACACACACACACACACACAGACAGGCTTATGACCAAAGCACACAAACATCAGGGTTAAAGAGAGAGTCCTGAATCTGCCTGTTTGGGCCTTTTCAAATATTGGCACAGAATATGGCTTTGTCTCCTAAGTACACTGACCATGAAATTGAATATATTGAACTTAAAAGTTTGACTTTACCAAGGAGAATGAGTTGAACTTCCAGCTCTCAAGGCTGCCTTGTTCTGTGCTTACTTCAAATGCAAATATTTAAGAAAACTAAGGGCTTATCCACACTTATCTTTCACTCCGCTCTTTCCAGGCAGAGGTCTGCACTTTAGTGCTCCACGTCTTCGAATTTATAGGCAGGGGTCAGCAAACTTTTTCAGCAGGTGGCCGGTCCACTGTCCCTCAGATCTTGTGGGGGACCAGACTATATTTTTGGGGGGGAATGAACAAATTCCTATGCCCCACAAATAACCCAGAGATGCATTTTAAATAAAAGCACACATTCTACTCATGTTAAAACATGTTGATTCCCGGACCGTCTGCGGGCCAGATTTAGAAGGCGATTGGGCCAGATCCAGCCCCCGGGCCTTAGTTTGCCTACCCATGTTATAGGAACTCCACTACATTTGTACAGAAAAGGACTGTCTAAAACAGCATGTTGTTGTATGAATAATGTTTCCTCAAAACACCTGTTTTTACATGTGTCTTAAAACACACGTTTTTACTAAGTTCTGGGAGAAAGTAGTGGATTATAAAAACGTGACTATGCGGAAAAAGTTTAAAAAATCCAGAGGAAAATATTCTTTTGAAGTACATGCCTACTATATGGAATTTGACAACTGGACAAGTTAAACGATTATTCATGCCCTTACCATGGCCAAAATACTGTACTGATACGGATGCACTGGAAATATAAGTGTATGGCTCCATATAATCAACGGGTTGAGGATATGACTACACTTTCAACTTATGGGCAGATTACTTATTGGCGCAGAGTTTGCATGGACAAGTATAATGACATTAGGAACACATTCATACAAAATATAGTAGGTTAAAAATAAACATATGTGCTTGAATAATAATACCTATATATCATATATGTGCATGGAATTGTAATTGTCAACTCTTGCAATGATACCTTTTATTTTTATTTTATGTTGGGTGTGGGGAGACGCTGCATGTCTGAGTGTTTTGTTGGTTTGTTTGGTTTTGCCTCAAACTTTCCCTGCGAAAACCCACTCTTTAAAGCTGAATCAGAACAAATGTCAGGTTTTCTGCAACTTTGATGGGACTTGTTTCAGAGCAATGGCACGGGAGCTAAAAGCAAAAACCACAGACCATCCCAATCACAGATCTCTCCCTTCACGTCTGGTTTGGCTGTCAGTCAGCACAATATATCCCAGGGCCATCACTGAGATCATCTGTAAGAGTGTCAGTGGTTGTGCTCCGTGTTGGTGAGGCTCATCTGACATTAACACGAAACTGAACCTTCAGTGTTATTGGCTCACTCCTGTGGAATGTTCTTTCATTCAGGATCTAGCAGGCCCCTTCTATACTAACTTTCAAACATTTGCTGAAAACTTTTATTAACTGCCAGGCTAATGCAGAGAACTGAGAAAAACGTTTTCCAAAATAGTCAGCTGGTGATCTGGTTTTTTTTTGTCTGTGGTTTTTATGGCATTACAATTGTGATAAGCTGCTTTGATATTTGTTATGAAATTGTGGTATACAAACTTTTAAATAATAATAATAATATAATACAAAATAAAAAGGGCTTATTCTCATATTTTGGTTTCACAAATTTAGCTAGCCCCCCTTCCTTAAGTGTACTATGAAAATATTAGATTCTGTGTACAAAAAGCTTAAAACAATTTGAAATATGTGTACACAGCTCAGTGGTATTCATTTTAATGAATTTTGTTCATTGGTTTGCATGAATTCAGAAATCAAATCCCTCCTTTCCAAAAGAGAGAGAGAGAATGAATATGATTTAATTGATTCAGGTCTGGCAGATGTTTTTGATATGCACGTTGCCTGTGTTAGGATAACACAGATTTAAACAATGAAAACATTGCAACCATTTGCACAAGACTAATCAGTCAACTCCAAAAGCATCTAATTTGTGGGAATTAATTATAAAACACAACCATATGTCTTTCTAATTATAACAAAGTTGGTGGGAAAGTCTGGCTACATCACAGCACAATTAAAAAATTATTATTATTCAGATCCTTTTAACCAGTGCTTTTTGTGTGTGACAGAACTCATTGGTATGGAGCAACATCACTTATTTACTTTTTAGTGACCATGGAAGCCATATTGTGAAGGCATCCACAACACTTGTACCAAGATATGAGTACTGGCCCCTCCATTTATTTTATTTTACCAACAAAGCACTGTTGCCGGCAGTTTAAAGGTAAAGGTAAAGGGACCCCTGACCATTAGGTCCAGTCGTGACCGACTCTGGGGTTGCGCACTTATAGGCCGAGGGAGCCGGCGTTTGTCCGCAGACAGCTTCCGGGTCATGTGGCCAGCATGACTAAGCTGCTTCTGGTGAACCAGAGCAGCACACGGAAACGCCGTTTACCTTCCCGCCGTAGCTGTACCTATTTATCTACTTGCACTTTGACATGCTTCCGAACTGCTAGGTTGGCAGGAGCAGGGACCGAACAACAGGAGCTCACCCCGTCACGGGGATTTGAACCGCCGACCTTCTGATCGGCAAGTCCTAGGCTCTGTGGTTTAACCCACAGCGCCACCCGCGTCCCTGCCTTAGTCATCTGGAATTCTTGAAAAAGCTCTCATATTTCTAAGGTCCACAGCCCCTTTTCAATACTTTTTAATGGAGTGTTCTTTATGGCTCATGGTAGTTCCCTGCCCCAACTCCCTCAATAAAACTTACTGAGTATACAGACCAAATACGGAGAGAGATTTTCTAACATGACAGAAGACTGTAATGGAGTGGGTTTAACAATGTCCTCTAATGAAAATGTGTGATGGGTGGAAAGACTGGCTATCCCAACAGAACAGAGTAAACCACTTTTATTAATGGGCCTTCTATTTCAGACTTCCATTATCGTTAACATTTGTTTGGGGAAGATTGCAATCTGCACTCTCATGAATGAGAAAGATAATACTCCCCACCCAATATATACTTAAAACTGGGTTTCTCTGCCACCTGACATATCTTGTTATTTCTGCTCAACAAACACTGAACCAAGCAGTATGACAAAGCTATCTAAATCAAACAATCAATCACCCACTATTTGAAAAGTTCATATTACATCATATCAAATACCATACTGGCTTCAAATCATTTCAAGCCCTGTGGCAAAACTTTCACTCAAAGTAGCTCACATTTTACCAGGAATTACTACTTCCATTTACCATTAATTTAGCTGTTAACAGCATGCAAAATAGTATTCAGAACATCTGCCTCTTCTATGCATTGTGACCACTGACTGGTAATCAACTAAAATGATAAACTAGAAGCTAGATGAGCCCTGCCCCGGGATTTTATTCTCAAGGTAGGACCTTTGCCTAACTATTGGTGTTTTGTTTGTTTGTTTTTGTTTGTTTTTAGACTAGGGAATATGGATTATCAATACACATCTGAAAACCTTTCGATGCAGGAAACACAGATATTTTACAGCCCCCACTCCCAGTTCTTAAACTGGGGTTAGGGAGACATGTTTCTGAGCAGAGCCGCATTTCCTCTGGAGCAGGCACCCCCAAACTCAGCCCTCCAGATGTTTTGGGACTACAACTCCCATCATCCCTAGCTAACAGGACCAGTGGTCAGGGATGATGGGAATTGTAGTTCCAAAACATCTGGAGGGCCGAGTTTGGGGGTGCCTGCTCTGGGGTGATCTTTTGGGAGCTATATGCTGGTAGTGGGCAGAGACAGAAACAAAAGTGTTCTCTAGTAAACAGCAGCAAAGATGGGGAGTGTGAAAATGGGTAGGTTTTGTAAGAAGGCAACAGGATACTCTCCATTCACCAACCTAGGCACTATGCTTTTTAATACCAGTTCTTGGAAACCACAGGAGTGCTCTTGTGATGCTCCTTGCTATTTTCCCCATCTGATTAGTGACTGTGAGAACAGGATGCTGGCCTACATGGGCCACTGGTCTGATCCAGCAGGAACTTCTTGAGTTTGTATGACACCCTTCAGACCTTTAAACTAAGTTGCATCTGAGGGAGAATCTGGGGTTGCTACTGCCCCAAGGTGAGAATATGAGGTTGCAGAAGAACACGGCAGCTGTCTTTCACCGCAAGCAGTTTCTCAGGGTGAAGTGGCTTATGGCGCTACTCTGAGAGAAAAAGGAGGAGTGCAGAGTGAGGAGGATATGCCACAACCCCCATATGAACATTCTGATTAACATGCTTTGTATATCAGAAAATGAAATAATTACTTCTGCATTTGCTGGGTTGATTTTGTTGTTGTTGTTCTGTTATATACTTGCAGCCAAGGAAATTTTGCACATCTGAATGTGTATCGAGTCCAACTGAGGATTACAGAAGCAGAGCATCTGCCCTTTTCGCTCCACACAATGGATCACCTCAGCATCATCAACCCACCACTCCACAAACTCCTTTATTTCTTGCCTGGCAGATAGAAATCAATGGTATGTGCCTCTGAGTGCTCAGTGCACAAAGTTCAAGTAAAAAGCTCTTCACAGAAATACATACTGTGGAAGGAGGTCATTGAGCAAGGACCTGATATAGCCCAAAGAGGATTATAGATATTGCTTTCACTTGCTAAGTTATAAATTCTACCCAAGCTACCATGGCTTAATATTGCTTTCCTTTGTTTGATGGTGGAAAGAACAGAAAAGGGAACAAAGAAAAAAGTAACTCTAGCCAAAGAAATCAGTTAATACTTGTGTTCCATGGGTCTGGGGATTAATGTCTCAGGCATGTACTTGGACCATATCTGGAAGTTATGCGTACCAAGTGAAAGCATTGATCTGGTAAAGAATTGCTGCAAGAGCGTAGGAGAAACTGCTGCAATGTTGTGGTCAGAAGGGGCTGGAGTCATGAAAGGCTTAATCAATGTTGCTTTGGGACTAGCTCTGGAAAGTAGATAGACCTGTTGATCTGTTCTACGACACAGTAACCATTCGTGTAAGTTTAAGGTCCCTTCCATTGCTATTTTCAGGTGAGATTCAATTAGATACTGGTCAATTCAGTGGGTCCAATTAAAACTGATTTGGAGCTCTTATAGAACACATACACAATCAGTCTTTTTGCTGTAAGAAATGTGACTGGAATGTACTGGAAAGTGCCTGATACAACATTGTATAACCTCACTGCGAAGGAATCAGGATGAATGCTCAGTAAACAGGCCATCTGGAAGTGACCTAAGTCCAAAAGCCTCTAAGGCTGGAAATCCTGTGCACACCTACTAGGACGGGAAGCAGACTTCTACGTAACATACACAGGATTGCAGTGTAAGTTTGTGTGAATCAATTATTTACCTGCAAAAATCAATCCAAGTTAAATAGAAACCAGTCTTCAGATTTGTATTGAATGACTGTCATCTTTGCAACCAACTCTAACCAATCGTAGCTTGAAAACAAGTTTGACACAGCATAGTTTGCTTCCTTTTCATCAAAGGAGTCAAGATGAGAATATTGTTGTTTGTTCTTCACTTCCCCCAAGCAATGAGATGTTCCATAGCAGCGCTGGTCTCCAGGAGATGAGTGAGCAGGAGACATACAATGTTTTGTAATATTTCCTTTGTTTATAAATATAGAAATAGAGCTTAAATGGAAGAATAGCAGGCACTCTTAGAGGGTTACGGATTTGACACCCTACATCAGATCCACAGAGAAAGTGCCAACAGCTATGGAAAGGGGAGAAATTCTGTTTGGTTCATATCTGAACACAAGCCTCCCTTATTTGTTCTACCCAAAATAATAAGTGAACATAGCAATATTTGGAAATTCACACTTCTCTGAATTTTGCAGTGAAGTTCTCCAACAAAAATGTGTACAAAAATTATTACATTGCAGGAAAGTGCGCATAAAAACCCATATACTCACGAACCTAAAATTTTAAAAATGCCTTAAATAAGGGGAAATTGCTTGCAAAAAATGTGCATATTAGGAGGTATGTAAACTAAAATGTGGGCATATTTTTGAGAGGACATTTTTTAAAAAAAAAACTTGCAAACTGATGTGAAAATGTGGTGAACTGAACTTTAATTGCAAAAATGAGAAGCTGAGGCTGATACTGACAGATTCACCCATCCCTATTAACAATTCTATTTTTCCCTCCCCAAACTACAGTGTGTCCTCCAATACAAAGTGGTCCAAAACCAGGATACCCTCTTCCAGGGCCGGACTCCTACATGAGTCACATCAGCCATGCAAGATCGTTGCCCCAAAATAGTGCTGGGGGGGGGGAGGCATGATTATAACTCAAAATCATGGGAGATTGTGGCGGCCATCTTGGCTGCCATGCTCTTGCAAGAAAAAAATGGAATGTTGAGGTGTGCTACTGTTGATTCACATTCATGCACACTTTACATTCACCTCTTCCCAACAGCTGGGAAGGGGAACACTCTAATGAGAGTGTCTCATTTAAATACAGAGAGAGTTCCAGCTCTCTCCTCACCATTAGCTCCAATCAGTAGATCATTTGGCTTAACAATGAGCAATCTAGCAAAAAAAAAATAAAAATGAGCAGACAACAGCTAAAATGTAAACACTAGACTGGACTCGACAAGGATAAAACCTGATATTCTAAAGCAAAAGTAATCCTAAACATTGCAAGAGGAATAGGAAGCCAATAATTACAGCATTCGATTGCCATGGTGACAGGTGAAGCCACTGCTAACAGCTGACTGATCATTTTAATTCACTAACTCCTCCAGCTACAGCAGTAAGTGTGGGGTGTGGGGGTGTATATATAATACAAAGCTTCAGGATATAACTTTTGAATATTTAGCCGGACCACGCCACCCAACCCCCGGCAAACAAAGGCAAGCTTAACTGGAAGGAGTTTACCAGCAAACAAAAGTTATGTTGAAAGAGCAATTTGGGATTTTTCTCTACTGTGAAAAGTTGTTTAAAAGGAATTGCAGGTTTGGGGGCTTTGCACCACAGAGTGCCAGATGTTCTCTTTTGCTAGCTGTTAAGGCAGGAAATGTCTGAAGGTCAGCTAACACAAACCAAGGTCAGGTGCTCCGCTTTCAAATCTAATAAACGAGCCGGCATCATCCATATTGAACAATATGATGGAAGCAGAGATCAAAGAGCAAAGCAAATCATGCCAGGGATGTACAAAGATGAAGCTTTAAAACAAAAAATTTCTAAACAGAATTCAAAAATTGGAAGAACATAGTTAACTTTTCAACAACAATGAGGGAGGAGTCATTTTTATAAAAACTGGTGCATATGCAGGAGAAGCAGCACCTGAAAAGGATGTTTTTTATAGAATAACCCTGTGCAGCCTCAAGCATCTATTCACACCAGTATGATGACGTATGTTGTGGCACAATTAGAACCTAATACTTTGCCGATCTTAGCATCCTGGCCATCTGCAGTGGCCGAACAAGTACCAAATGGCACTTGAGAGATAGGGGTTGATGACGACATCCCTCTTTTACTGGCATCTGGTGATCAGAGATCTATTGTTTCTGAAAACAGAAGCTGCACTCTTAGCTACCTGGACTAGTCAATACTGACAGCTATCCTTCATGTACTTGTGTAACTGTGTGTGTGTCCAAAAAGAAAAACACACACCAATACAGTGGTACCCTCAGGTTAAGTACTTAATTCGTTCGAGGTCCGTTCTTAACCTGAAACTGTTCTTAACCTGAAGCACCACTTTAGCTAATAGGGCCTCCTGCTGCCATGCCGCTGCTGCACGATTTCTGTTCTCATCCTGAAGCAAAGTTCTTAACCTGAAGCACTATTTCTGAGTTAGCGGAGTCTGTAACCTGAAGCGTATGTAACCTGAAGCGTATGTAACTCGAGGTACCACTGTAAATCAATTTTAGAAAGGGGCAAGATTAGACATGGATGCAGAAAGCATTTTTAATTTTTTTAAAAAATGAGACTCCTTGTGCTCTGCTCCACTCCCCATTTCTTCCCGCCCAGGGCGGCCTTGTCCTCTGCCTGTCCCTCAGAGCTGGCATGTCACACGGGCTTGATGGAAGCAGCCTCTCCTCCTCTTCGCCTGCTCTCCAGCAGCACCTACGAGCTACCCAAGGGAGGAGGCCAGCAGCAGCCATGAATAGGCCATGGGGTGCTCCCCTGCAACAGCCGCTGACGCCACCGCATCTCAAAACAAACACCGGCTCACTCTCTTTCCCAAGCTGGGTGACAGTGGCACTGGGTGGGGAAAATAGGGGCATCCCTGGATCAAATCAGAAGCCGGGATGGCTTTCGTAATTATGGGACTGAGGGTATGAACTTAAAATCAGGAACTTGAAGGGAAGGGAGGGGCAAAAAATAGACATGAATCCAGAAATACAAAATGGCTAGCAACTATGGCCTTGCCTACCTGCCAGGAGTAAGCATGAACCAATGGTACCAAATAGTATGGGGAACAGCCTTATTGGAAAAACTAACCTATAAGCTGAAACTGACATGGGGACAAATGGAGGAAGACGCTTTCACCCCGGTATGACTCGCCTTTATCACATACACAGCCCAACAAGAATCCAAACAGCACACGAATCAATATGGCTAACCTGATTCAAGAACACCCACCCACCCCACTCACACATGAAAACAAAGTTCACCACAGCCAATCACAAACAAACAACCACACCCTAGGCCAACCCCAACCTCTCTCACCACCAAAGGAACACAAGCGAATAGTAAAGTGAACCTGCACAAGCGATGCTGATACAAAACCCCACACATAGATTAAGTAAAATAGAAACATCGCCACCCGACTCCACCCCCACCCACCATGCCCCCCTCCACCTCTTCCCCCCTTTTCTTCCTAATGTAACACTAATGTCTCAACAAATGAAACTGATCTGTAGAAAATGTAACTTGGAAAAAGAGACATTGCACACACTTTTCTAAATCAATAAATCTTTAATAAAAAAATACGTTTAAAAAAATATATGGCCATGTCTGCATTTGCTTAGGTTGAGTGGCATTCAGGAGAAAAACTATGAATATTAATAGGCATTTGTGTGGGATATTCTGGGATAGGTGCCTTACTTGCATACTGCTCTCACCTTTTTTAAATATAAATCCCCAAGTTAACATTTAAAAATATCAAAGAGAAGAAACATGCAGTACAGCATTTTACACAAACTGCATTGGAACATATTAAAACAATCGATACCGAAACCCTTCCGCTACTTTGTACTTCTCAAACGACATTCAGAGCAAGGTACGCCCTTCAAAGTCATAAGGAGAACACTTGAAAGTCAAAAATGTAGGTGGCTCTTTTTTTCCTCTTTTTTTTTTTTTTTTTTAGAGAGAACCAGAAATGTTAGCAGTAACTCTGTTCCTAGCCTTGCCTTTTTGGAGCTGCTTGACATGAAAGTGTCATTCATTAGCTCAAACCTGCACAGTGCTACGTCTCTTAAGGATTGAAAGCCTGCATAAAAGGGTGTCATTCCCTCCGGCAGCTCTTTTCAAGGCCAGAATGTCTTGCTCTTATTTTCCTGCTGACATGAGAACATTGAGCTGCAAAGTGAAGAGTGCCGCCACAAGGAATCCATTATTTTTTGATGCTTATACCTTCTCATCTAGCCATAGATGGGGATCAAACAAAAGCGCCAATTCCATTAAAAATCGACATCCTCCTACGGTAGAATCCAGGCAGACAATAGTTTTGCATAGTGGTGATAGTGCTTTGAGAGGCACTGTGTCTCTGTGCCAATATTTCGTTTGTCGGCTCTAGTCCAAACAGGTGGCACAATTTTTTTGAAATAACCTGCAAAACCTTTCTGACCAGAGATGAAGACAAGTGATGGTGAGTGGACTACACCACAGTCATTGCTCCTCTGGGGTGGGGGTGAGTGAAAGAAAAGTAAGTGGAACATCACAAACCCCCTGCAAGTTATGTTGCTTGGTAATGTTATGTGGAAGTAAGATAAAGGTAAAGGGACCCCTGACCGTTAGGTCCAGTCGTGGCCGACTCTGGGGTTGCGGCACTCATCTCGCTTTATTGGCCGAGGGAGCCGGCGTACAGCTTCCGGGTCATGTGGCCAGCATGACTAAGCCGCTTCTGGCAAACCAGAGCAGCGCACAGAAACACTGTTTACCTTCCCACCAGAGCTGTACCTATTCATCTACTTGCACTTTGACGTGCTTTCGAACTGCTAGGTTGGCAGGATGCTAGGTTGGCAGGAAGTATTGTGGAAGTATTGGGGGTTAAAAGAAATGCAGACAGCAGCCAAGGAAGCAATTGTAAGGTTGCTAAGTTCTCTCAGTGCCCCCTGTGCAAACAATGGCTTGCTAAACAGAGGCATATTGGATAAGTTTTTCCAGACTTCAAAAAAAACCCCACAGAAGAATAAGATGGGATTTTATGATGGCTTAATAACAATTTTATTATTTATATGGACTTTATTTCCTTTAAAGAAGATAAAAAGCAGGGGGATTGAGTGTTTGATTGGCAGGAAACTATAAACAATACAGCTGCATCTTTTATCCATTAGAAGGAGGACACATTTATCTGACTGTTAAAGCCACATCATATATTATCAGTATGTTTCACAGAAAGTTGATGCAAGCCAGTACTGAACAGTATGAATTTACTCTTATCATTGTAAATGTGACTTTTAATTATTGTAGATGAAAGACTGCAAAACCCTTTCAACAATACATTTCCCCTTTCTTCCCCCCCCCTTTCTCTCTCCTTTCCTCACACCCTTTCCCTCCCCAATACAGCATGTTGCTTAAACTTGTGGTTAAAACCAATCACCTCTCCTTATGTACACTGGATTTCAAAGCTGGATTTCAAATGTGTCAGTTTTATACAACCACAACATGTTGTCATTGTGCATGTGGAGTATCTTTCATGTGGAATATGTGGGGGACATTCCTGGTAGCCCCACCCTTGAAGGATTGGGGTTCCAGATCCCGAGGAAACAAACATGTGTGCAACTATACATGAGATATGCTGCTTGATTGTAAAAAAAAGCCAAAAATCTGCAAAGTGGTTTATTTGTTGCAAGCAGCACCATTTCCATTCTGCTGCAGTTCATCTGTTTACAAAAGCAAAAGATGAGTAACAACTCATCTTGCTGCCAACCGTGGCAAAACTATGTAACTTACCGTATTTTTCGTCCCATAGGACGCACCTAGTTTTTTGGGGGGGAAATAAAGGGAAAAATTTTTTCCTTTATTTCCCCCCAAAAACCAGGTCGGGGAACAGCGGGATGGCGGCGCTGCGCCTCCCCGCTGTCCCCCGAGCTTGTGGGGCTGGCCGATGTATGCCTGGCTCCCGCGGGCTCCCCAGGCTTGCTGATAGCTTCCTGAAGCCTGGAGAGCGAGAGGGGTCGGTGCGCACCGACCCCTCTCGCTCTCCAAGCTTCAGCGAAAGCCTGTATTTGCCCCATAGGACGCACACAGATTTCCCCTTCATTTTTGGAGGGGGAAAAGTGCATCCTATAGGGCGAAAAATACTGTAAAATATGTAACATAATTAATGATGTAAACTATGTAACATATATTATCCCACCCCATTCAGTTCAGTGCAAAGGAAACACATCACAAGTGCTGGAGGTATGTACTCATTTGTGGCTTGAAAGCAACAGCAAATACTGATTCTAAGCTGGATTGATTTGCATTGCAAACGTGACAAAGAAACATTAGCAATTTCTGTTCCCATTTTTGTTTATGTCGGAATTCTCCAACCTGCCAAGTAAAAGTTCATTTCCAATGTTTATTCCCAGTGACTGATATTTAGAGAGATGTGCTGCCGCTGGTCCTTGATAGTAGGATATGCCCCTCATAACTAGCAACTGGCCATTGCGAGCCATATCCTCCATGAATTTGTCGAATCCCAATTCAAAATCTTCTATCTCAGTGACGACCACCACCACATCGTATGTTTTTTTTTGGGGGGGGGGTGTTTCATTATTAACAGGACAGAGTTTCTCATGCCCTTTTTTAATTTCCAACATACCACACTATGCTCCAGGTAGCATAGACATAAGCAACCTAAGCTGACAACAGAAGAAGAAGAAGAAGAAGAAGAAGAAGAAGAAGAAGAAGAAGAAGGAGGAGGAGGAGAAGAAGAAAGGGGGAATACAGTACCAGTTTACCTCAGAACGATCACCCTTGCATTGCAAGTGCCATTGAGTCTGTACAAGAAGGTTATTAAAAAATATGTAGATAAATATGTGACTATCTGGCAATATCAGCACATGCAATACAACAGCTTCAGTGTCCACACACACAAAGGCACACAAAATTCAGAACAATATGACCTTGTGCCATTAGTTTGTAGCTTTACTGAGAAGTATGTTTTCCTACCATTTCCTGTTTTGTGCAGCGGCTTAGCAAGGGTAGCTCAACACCATAACGTTCCATTTTAATAGCATCCAGTGATGTCAAGCGCAGGACAAAGTTTGTGGTTCCAGCCCAGCAGAGGTTTCTTCCTAAGGCAAAAGATAAAAGGAAAATAATACAGCCTATCTGTCTCTCATGTATTCTCCCTTCCCCAAAGGTCCTTGGATATACAGAACTAGATTTATTGCCCCCCTCATCTGGCTTCTGTTTCAGCTTAGCTTCCCAGCTGAGATACCATTGCAATGGTCTTTGTTCCAGTCCTCATCAATTCTGCCCTTATGTCTTGATGGGGATAAGGCAAGGCACATTGCCAGTTGTGCCACTCTCTAGGGTTGGGAGACAAATTCGGTCTGGTTCTCGTCTCTGTGCATTTTATTCTGTTTCATGTATTTTGCTTTTGTAGCAGCTTTGGCTACACAAATGAACAGTAGCATCCGTAATTCCAGTGTGACCCTACCGAATTTGCATTTCCCAAGCAAATACGTGAACTAAAGCACAACTTTCTTTAGAAACCAGCACTTCTCCAAATTCTGCAATGCAGTTCTCGACCCTTAGAACGTTTACGGAAATGCATATATTAGAGGAAGGTGTGCATAAAAATTGAAATACAACTGAAAACATGTAAAATGCATTATATTAGGGGGGGTTGCTTGCAAATATGTGTTTATTGTGAGAAGCGAACACTAAAATGCTTTTAGAATTTTTTTAAAAAGGAAATGGATGCAGAAATGTGATTGGAAAAATTAGAAACTAAGAAGCCAGCAATGAAAGATTCATCCATCCCTATACTTAGCATGAAACTTTGTATTCTTTTCTCCACTCCTTCCTGGAATCATCCCTCTCTCTAGTGGCAAATGGCGGTGGGGAATGGTAGGGTGGGAGGCAAGGTGAAATATACTCGGAGTCAAATGTGGATTTCATGCTCTTTATTCAGCTCATAGTAGTGAGGAAGAATGGAAGTTCCCCCAGAATGTCTGCTTTATATACATTATTTACACAATGGGCCCCACGTGATTAGCTAATTCTGGGATTCACCTGTAGGCCAATCAGGTTGTGGATTCACTTCCACCTGGAACTGGATTGGACTCCTGTGGACCAATCAGACTGCTGCATTCTGGACCCTTTTGATCTAGGACCAATCAGACTGCTGCATTCTGAATCCTATTCAACTCAGTACATAACATAGGGAGACTAACAGTAAGTAGAGCCAGAGTCAATGACAGGCAATGCCATCTAATGCTAGATTAAACCCCATTTTCCTGCTCCTTTTGGAGTCCTACAAGGGCAACACTGAGATTACAGAAGAGAAATCTGCCACAAGCAGTGTCACCACCTGATCTGGTTCTAAGGAGGCAGGCAGGTGAAAAGTGGTGGTGTTTGAGGCCAGGCTGGATGGGAAAGGGGCAGTGCGCCATTCACCCATCTCTGTATTACCTCAGGAGCTCTGGTTGACTCCCTCCCCACATGCTACCATCCCAAGGGGAAGCAATTGTTTGGTAGCGTCCTTACAATAGCCCTTGAGATGAAGACATTGGATTCAAACCTATGATTCCAAGTGACAAGGACTTAGAGGACTTTGAGTGAGACGTTTAACAAGTACTTCTTGGAGCTGTCCTTTTCACTCATGCCCATACAGTTAAATCTGATACTGCAATGCCACAATTTCTCACACTGCAGGCAAGCAATCATTCGCCTTGTTTAATTGTATTTATTGAATGATACCAGCCGACCCCCCCTGCTGCTTAAAATCTGTCTTATCACATTTTGTTCAGCATGGCAGCAGCATCTACAATCTTACAAATGGATGGCGCACAATCCATTAGCATTTTTAGATGCATTAGTGCCTGCACAAACATGCCCAAAGCTTCTTATTATCCTCCTTTTACACTTCCAATAACATTCAGATTGAAATGTGCCTCTACCTTGTCACTGAGATTTTGCTTCACTCTCTAAGTTTTAGGAAAACAACCACACAGAAACAAAAATAATTCAAAACAACCTGCTGGCTTCAAGCATTAAAAGTACAGTGTAAGGAGCAAGCAGGCAAAGGAAGTTTAGAAAGAAATGGGGGGTGCGGTGTCCTTGGGTCAATGATTTTATGGAAGGCATACAGCCGCAGCTACTATTTCTAGACCACAACAAGATCTGCAGTGGGGTAAGGGCAGAGGTGAGCTTGATATAGACACACATTCTCCCGTAGAAGCCTGCAGATGAATGTTCTGCTTTACCACCCATGCATACATGTTGTGTTAATCACTTGTAGGGTAACCATATGCATGTGTATTCAGAAGTTAAATCCCACTGAGTTCGGGGGTGGGGGGTGGGATTACTGCCAGGTACATGGGTAGAGATTGCAGCCTAAGCTTTCTTTTTCTTTAAATAATGATGCGGTACTCATAATCACTGGCGTTTCCCATGACTTTCAGTTCCCTATACAAATCCTAGACCTGTGTTCTCCAGTATAGGAGAACAGGTCTTCAAGGTCACAGCTCACTGCATGGCATGGCTTCACCCCTCTGAAAAATACGAACTGAATTGAATAAAGGTAAAGGGACCCCTGACCATTAGGTCCAGTCGTGACCGACTCTGGGGTTGTGGCGCTCATCTCGCTTTATTGGTCTAGGGAGCTGGCGTACCGCTTCCGGGTTATGTGGCCAGCATGACTAAGCCGCTTCTGGCAAACCAGAGCAGCGCACGGAAACGCCGTTTACCTTCCCACCAGAGCGGTACCTATTTATCTACTTGCACTTTGATGTGCTTTTGAACTGCTAGGTTGGCAGGAGCAGGGACCGATCAATGGGAGCTCACCCGGTCACGGGGATTTGAACCGCCAGCCTTCTGATCGGCAAGCCCTAGGTTCAGTGGCTTAACCCACAGCGCCACCCACATCCCGAATTGAACATACCATACACCAAGAGTTCACAACCTTTTGGGCAGGGCCCTGGGAACACATTTAGAAATTTAAGAAACTGCCACAGGGAGAAATGTCCCCTAAACAATAGACAAAACAGCTACACCCACCCACCCACCAATGGACCTTGACAGGCACCAAGGGAGGTGTCAAAGCGACCCCAACAGTACATTAAGATGAATGTAAGGAGCTGTGCTACCAAATGTATATTAGCAGTATAAGACTATCCATGATGGATGAAGTATCATAGTCACAAAAACATTGGAAACTTATGACCAAAACATGGCTATGGATTGGCCTACCATTATAACAACTGCTAGTATATGTTTCATAGAACAGCTGCTCTAAACAGTGCAGGTTTGTAGTCTGAGGTGCTCCTGGATCCATCATTTTACTCAGAGGCCCAAGCGGCTTTTGCAGCAAGGGGCTGGTTCACTAGCTACAGCCTTGCCACAGCACTCCATTCTGTTAAACTCACATTTTGATTACTGCAAATGGACTCTAGTGGGCCTTCCCTTGAAGATATTTTGCTACTTCTGCACATAGTTGTGTAACATCTATTCTACAAGCTGGGCACCGGCTGCCCATCTGTTACCAAACCCAATTCAAGGCGTTACAGTAGTTTGGGTTTACAAAGCCCCAAGCGACTTGAGACCCAGTAACCTGTCAAAGCACCTTTCCCTATATTGATGGAGGAAGGCGGCTGCTTGCTGTCTTGATGGCAGTTGGCACACTTTGTGGTGACCATGACAGGGCCTTTTGTACTGTGGTGCCCAGGCTTGGAACTTACGCCTCCTAGAGGCTTGGATGACGACAACATTATTAAGCATCTGCCAGCTCACTAGATCATATGTGATCATTGCCTTTGGAAATATTTAAGTTATTTTGGTTTCAACTAGTGCTTAAGGTCTTTCTGATCTGCTGCCGTTTACCTGTAATTGTTTTATACTGGATTTTATACTATATTAGTGTTGCATGCTTTCATTCATCTGCATTTTGTTTTCAGATAATGCGGTGGAAACCAGCCAGTGATTTTTATGGAATATTGTCCCGTAATCGGCATTGTGCTTGAAAGAGCAATTGCAGTAACAAGAAAAGAGAAAATATGTTTATTTTAATATCTTGGTGTTCGAGAGACATTGGTTCGGCTTGAAGGACTTAATGGAATTAACAACCATAATATGCTCACAAGATACAGGGATTTACTGTCATTCCTTCTCACAGCAGCAAAAATAGAAGTTGGGGGGGGGGGAGGAAATGGAAAAGAAAGTATGATAAAAATGTCACCAGTGATTCAGTGGTTGTACAAACTGTGGGAAGTTCATGCCACAGATAAGCTCCCGCATTAAATTTAAGGGGGGGCGGGAAATAGGCCATGTTAATCCTCAAGAATGCAGATGCCATTTGTACTTTACACAGAAGCTAATAAGGCACTTGCTGGCACACCCAAGCATTTTACTTCTGCATTTACTTACTGAACTTCATTTTTAATCTGCAACAAAAGTGATTATCATATCAAGGTAGATTTAAATTTGGTAGCTTAGCAAAAACGGGCTGAAAAGAATTAAGATGAAGAATTAAGATTTTTCATAATTTTAAATTGGGTTGCATTGATTTATCTTTTGTTATTAACTTTAATTTTTTTTCCAAAAATTATATAAAGGATTCATTATAAATCTATTGGATTCAGAGACTTGTGTGGGCAGACGTCGCCACTTAAAGAAGTACACCTGTTATTACTGTAGGTTTCATTTGACTGAAGGAAAACTGCCAAATTAACTAAGCCACTTCTGACAAGTTTTCTGTATGCCATCCAAATGTAAAATACATCTCACTGTATAGAATGTGTCAAGTTTGGTGGATATAATGAAGGTGTTGAAATCTGTGGTTTTCTGAGTGGGCCTGCTGAGTCACTGTTTAAGACCCAGACCAACAAACAGATCCATATGAAGATAACTGTTTTTTGAAATTTGAATTTGACTGTGTGGGTCCCCCTGAACGACACATGAAGGATGTGAAGAACCAACCAAAGGCTGGAGATTATATGCTTGCCCTGAATGAAAAAGGAGGTTCCTCAGTCACTCGTTGCTGGCACACACATTGTTTATGACATGCTTGACACACCTTATTTACTAGAGTCTAAGACACCATCAAGTCTAATGCACACCTCAACGTTCCTAACCTTGAAACAAACAAAAAAAGTATTTGCTGGCGAATGTAAATGTGCCATCAAATCTAATCCGCAACATAATTTCCGCAACATAATTTGGCCAAAAAATGTGAGATTTGAGTAAATATGGTATTTTCATTATAACGCTCATCATTTACCAGTACATAACACACTCAAAGTACTATAAAGTACTATAATCTGTAAGGCTTGGTACTATAGGCCCTGCAGCCTTGTCCCCTGTTTGGCAACACACTTTCACCTTAAAGCCAGCCTTCCAAATCTTGCTGAACTCCCATCAGTCCTACCCAGCATGACTGGTGGTCAGGGATCAATGAAGCTGCAGTTGAACATCATCGGGCGGGCCAAAGGTTCCCCATATGTGTCTTGAGGATTCTAGGATTTGGGGAGAGAGAGCCCTCTTCTTCTCTTTCCACCTCTTCCGTCTTCCACCAGAACATTTTACTTCTGCTCTTTGTGGGTGTGCATTCTCATACACATTCTCTTAACTGTGCAGTGTTAAGAATGATTTGTTAATAAGCACATCAGCTGATTTGTCAGAACCACCGGCTCCAGACGGCTGCTTGGAATGGGGCTTTTTCCAAGCCAACTAATCTACCCTAGGGATAGGAACCTCCGCTCCAGAGACCAAATGCAGCTTCTAAGGCAGGCATCCCCAAACTCGGCCCTCCAGATGTTTTGGGACTACAACTCCCATCATCCCTAGCTAACAGGACCAGTGGTCAGGGATGGTGGGAACTGTAGTCCCAAAACATCTGGAGAAACCCGGACAGTGCGTCCCTGTGAGGCCCTTGGAGCCCCACCTCCTCCAGGCCACAACCTCTCACTAGCCTAGCATCCTTGAGAGCTTTGCCTGAGCTGGGAGCGTGTCTCAGACTCAGAAGCGCTACTTGCCAGCCTAAATGGTGGAAGTGGGGTGAATGTGTGTAGAAACAAGCCTACTGTGGCATTTGTTCCTCTGTCCACTCTTATCACTGGCACCATTGGTGTGTGGCCCTTGGAAGGTTCCCTAGCAGAGAATGCAGCCCTCAGGCTGAAAAACGTCTCCTGCCCATGATCTGCCTGGATAAATGACTATGGAGGCCATTTTAAGGGCAGGCTGGAACCCTCTACAACCCACAGATCCCTGCTAATTATTTATCATTTCCCCCCACCATTTTATTCTTCCTTTCCTCCAAGCAACTCAGCATGGCATATATCGCTGTGCTATTTTTCTAGAAAAAGTGGTGCCAGAAGTCACAATGAACGCCTCCCTTGTTCTCTTACAATGGCAATGGCGCCCACCTGAAAGGTGCGGGAACTGAGTTCTGCCTGGGGGGAAAAAGCCCTGCATAGGTGATTTTCCTCAGCCCATTTTACCTTTACAGCAGGCCCAAACTGAAAGATAGTGAGTTGATGAAGTATGCTTCATGGCTGAATGAGGATTTAAGGCCCAAGTCTGGCTTTAGCCTTAGCATGATGCACTCTAGCCACACCACCATATTGACTCATGAATTGAGCATCTCAGCCAGCTGAGAAGAAGCCTAAAATGCTACAGCAGCCTAGCTATGCTAGGAAAGGCTCAATTTCCAAGTGACAGGTTGGGGCCTGCCTTCCCCCATGGCTCCTTCTGTGTCTGTTCAGGAATCACACAAAGCATCACAGGGAAGCCAGTCCCCCTTCAAGAAGCAACTCTCATTCCTGCAACCAAATCAAGAATTGGAGCTCTAAGTAGTAACTCCACCAGGGATTTGATCTGAACTCTTAGTGGCTTCCCCCTAGGCAAAGCCTCTGCACATACTGCCTAGGACAATGGATAATTCCAGGCCAATATGGCGGCATTTTGTAACAATTTATAGTAACTACTCTCTTAGAACCCAGTCTTCGTATTGCTAGGGTGGCACAGAAATGCCTGAAAAATGGCTCCCCCAGTCATTAAGCCCCATGTTGCCATGGTAACGTGGGAAGATCCAGATTGCATTTCATGCATCATGGAATTGCACTGAATACGTCGTTCCTCCCTACACCAGCTTCAGGTTTCGGGTTCTGAAAGCGAACCAGGAATTTAAAGAACTGTTATTGTCAAAATGCTTTGCAAACAAGTTTGGAGGAGGGGCTGGCACAATCACCAACCCCCTGGGCCGTGTGCCCCTTACCCGGCCTGCCTCACCTGCACACCAGCTCCCCTTGCTCAGAACCACTGCAGTTGGGGTCATCCCTGCTCTCCCCAGCTCCTCTCTTCCCAGGCACATATTTATGTCCCTTGATTTTTTAAAAAGTCAACAAAAAGCCCAAGTTAAAAAACACAAGTTAAAAAGCAGTTAAAACAATTTAAAGCTTTGTAAACAGTTAGGGCAATAATAACAGCAACAGGAACGCCGCCCCCCCCCAAACCCTAAACAATACCTCATCCCAAAGGTATGTTCAGCCGCCTCAGCTTTTGCAACTGGAGTCAGTCATGACCCTGCCCTTCCAGACCAGGTGGAAACAGCCTGCAAGCAAGGGAGCAGCCAAGATTATATCTGGCCTGCTCAGGAGCCTCGGCCCTTGTAGCTGGAGTCAGTCAAGCCCCAGCCCTACCAGGCCTGGTAGGAAAAGCCTGCAAGGAAGTGAGAAGGACTTGCAGGACTCACAGCCAAGAAGATGGTCTCTGAATGAGCAAATATATACCATTTGGTGTATTTGAGGTTTAAAAATATTGAACAGAAATAGAAAGCGCCTTTAGCTCATGGATTTCATCTAGGTCTGAACCGAATTAATAACAACTGTTTCTCGGCCATCTTACCCACCCCGAAATTGTGTATTTTGTTTTGGCAAGATTTTAGATCAGAGGAGACTTGGAGACCACTATTTTGTTTTTCTTAGAGAATCCTGTCCTGGGGTGCTTTTTTTGAAATTTGCATAATTCAGAACAATTGTTTCCTTTCCCACTCACTGAGAGCTGACCTCGTAGTACACACTCTGCAAGATCATTCAAGATTATCCTCCCCTATTCCCGGACATTACTACAATATATTTTTAAGCTAACTTTCCTTCTACAGTATAGTGTTGTGCAGATTTATGAGGGTGGTGTTGTTTTTACAGGGGAGGAGGAATCTGAAATTGTCAGCTGAGATCTCATTAACTACTAGTAACCCGCTGGAAATCAGTGGAAAAGTCTCATCTGCTTATTAGCAATTTCTGGCTCTCCAGCATATTTATACTAATGTTGTATAACCCCTTATGAATGCAGCTGCTATTGTATACACAAAATATGCATACAATATTCCATTTTGTTCACATTTTCACAGTGTGGGCTTTGGTAGCAAACAAGACACATCAGTTCCAGATAACATGTTTATTGAACAATCAGGCCTGATTTGTTTGCACAAAGTTTTGTGGGGAGGTTAGACAATGTCAGCATCCATTTTGATTTGCCTGCAGAAGGGTTATATGACATTGTGTCAAGCATATACACTCCACAATGCATTTTTTCAATCACTTTCCTTATCGAAAAAGTCCACCGGGGGGTGGGGGTGGCTGAACCCCACCCTAAAGTAGCAACAGTCTGGAAGCACCCAGGTAAAACAAAACCCTTTGCCTGCAGCAACAAGTCAGACATCTGAGGGTAGTATCCTAGATTGAGTTTTCTGAGAAAGGCAAGAGGTCCAATAGAGCAGCCTTGCCCAACCTTCAGCCCCCAGATGTTGCTTGACTACAATTCTCATCATTCCTGACCATTGAGCCATGCTGGCTGGGGTTGATGGGAATTGTAGTCCTAGAACATCTGGGGACCCAAAGTTGGGAAAAGATGCAATAAAGAACCCTCAACCCAGTTCTATAGTAAGGGAAACACAGATCGTTCAGCAAACCTAAACCATTTTCAAAGATTTCAAATTGTATGGGGGGGTAAGGGAGGAGATTAGGAAAGGTATAATAAGCCACATTGGGTGGCTGAGACAAAGGACAAGATGGTGCATTCCACTTACAGAAACCAACTAGTCTGGCAGCTGAATCTTACTTCAGTACAGTCGTACCTCGGAAGTTGAACGCCTTGTGAGTCGAACGTTTTGGCTCCTGAACACCGCAAACCCAGAAGTGACTGTTCCAGATTGCAAACGTTCTTTCGGAACCCGAAACTGCAGGAGCTTCCTGCAGCCAATCAGAAGCCATGCCTTGGTTTCCGAACGTTCTGGAAGTTGAACGGACTTCCGGAACGGATTCCATTCGACTTCTGAGGTACGACTATACTGGCAACCGTGTAGCGTCCTCAACGCACACCAGAGGACTAGTTATGGAATACAGGCCCTGTGGAAAGGGCAAATACAGGTTTGTTATCCAACAGTACAGCCAGGGGCTGCAGGAGAAGGAGCTAGGACTGCACACCCTAGCTGCTTCCCAACACTTGCTACCTTAGGTAGTTGCTTTGGTCTGGACTAAGGTGTATTTTTGCCTCCGTACTGGGAACTGTTGTCTTGAGAAAGTGATCCCTTTGAGAAAACTATCCCCCCCCCCCAAGCATTTATTCTAAGGGGGAGGGAGGAACTTATCAGTCTGCCTCCTTGAGAAGTTGTTGTGACAGGATTAAAGGATAAAATGGTAGGAAGCAAGAATGGAGCTATCAGAGCAGGCTGTGAAATGCCAATTTTAGTCTTAAATCAATCAGTGAAGACATTTGCGACTGAATGGTGGGAATATAGTATTTTTCCATGAGAACCCCGTAGATGCTGGGCAGAAAAAATTCTTGCCACTAAGCTCTTTCCTTCAGCTTTATTAAATGCCTAGATTTGGTATTCAGTGAAATTCCTGACCTCTGCCCACTGAACCAATTTAGGTAGGAAGATTAACTGCATTAAAATACATTCACACAAAGATAATATTCCGTGACATTTGGGTGCTTTTATTGAGGAAGAACATGATTAATATTACTACTCTCCTGCATAGCAGATATTTCAATAATTTGCAGTAAAGATTCACATATTTGGCATATATTCTCGAAGTTTAACTCGTGTGAGACTTTCCAAAGAAACTATCAACTCAGCCACCCAAATTAAAAATAAGAGACTGACTTTTGTTTTTTTAAAAAGAAAGGGAGACTGTCTGGAGATGGAGGAATAGGATTCTATAAATACCTCATAAATTTAGATCCCTAGTCTCCCTTGTGAGTAATGGAATTAAAAATGAGTAGATGATCAATAAAGATCAGGCTGCTGTCTCCAAGATCAAATCCAATTCTGGTTTCACTTGCTGGTGATTTTATATTTATTTATTTCCCAGCTGATGTTGTTTGGGCTTAGTCTGAACTGCTTGATTTGTTCAGATTGCAAAACCTTAGCAACATGCATCATTTCAGAGGCTGTTCAATTGAGGTCATGTCCTCTCTGTGAATTTTATTAATATATATTGACAGATGATGACCTAAAACTCAAAATCTCTTCATCTTTGCTTATTGTATTCTCCTGTTAGATGGATAAGTGATGCTTCAGACGCTGCTTAATTGTGTTGATGGGCTTCTAGAGAGAAGCTGATTTGGCGGATAACTTACGTAGTAGAAAGCAGAGCTGCAAGTTTTCATCAGTCCATCAGTTGAACAACTAAGCCAGCAATTCTCAAACTTTGTATTACAAGAGAACTACCAGTGTGCATCAAGAAACATTATAAAAAAAATGAGTCTCATGTGAACCCAAAATGTCCACCCACAGAGGTATCATAGTTTTCTATACAGAAACAGAAGAAAACAAGACAGTAAAATAAAACCTATTGAGATACAATGGTACTTCGGGTTAAGAACTTAATTCATTCTGGAGGTCCATTCTTAACCTGAAGCACCACTTTAGCTAATGGGGCCTCCTGCTGCCGTGCCACTGCTGCGTGATTTCTGTTCTCATCCTGAAGCAAAGTTCTTAACCCGAGGTACTATTTCTGGGTTAGCGGAGTCTGTAACCTAAAGCGTCTGTAACTCAAGGTACCACTGTACAGTGGTACCTCAGGTTAAGTACTTAATTCGTTCCGGAGGTCCGTTCTTAACCTGAAACTGTTCTTAACCTGAAGCACCACTTTAGCTAATGGAGCCTCCCGCTGCTGCCGCACTGCCGGAGCACGATTTCTATTCTCATCCTGAAGCAAAGTTCTTAACCTGAGGTAATATTTCTGGGTTAGTGGAGTCTTTAACCTGAAGCGTATGTAACCTGAAGCGTATGTAACCTGAAGCGTATGTAACCTGAGGTACCACTGTATATATCTTGTCCTTATCTTTCACCCTGTACACTTGCTGCAGTTTTCACAAAGGTATTCCCAACCTGCATACAGAGTTTGCACGGTGGATCTACATTTAACCATTCCTGGTCAGATTATGAGCTTTCTTAGAGGGTTGAACCAAGGAGCTATATAGTTTACATTGCCATCAGAAGTTACCTTTGCTGATTGACTGAACCTTTTATCAATTACAAATCTGCCCCCCTTTCTCCTGTAGTTGATCCAAGAGTGTTGATCCAAGACTCATGCTTGTGGCAGTCACAACGGCTGCTTCCTCTTTTCCCCAGCCTAGCACTATTCTAAGATTTTTCAATAAAGGGATTGCTTTTTCTTTTTTCTTTAAAGGTAACATTAACACAGAATAAATGTTTGATTAGTTAAAGATGCCAGGAAACTGGACATCTAAAATCAACCCCCCTCTCAACCTGGTACCTTCCATAGGTTTCAGACTACAACTCCCATCTGCCCTACTCAGTACAAAGGTCATGGGTGATGGGAGTTGTAGTCTACAACATCTGGATGGTATCAAGATCTGTAAAGTTGCTCTAAATCTTATTAGATTAGGGTGAAATCTTCAAAGGCTCCAAGAACTCAAAATCAAAGGCAGATTTTCAGATCTGTCCCACATACATACAAAAATTTGAACAAGTTGAGGTTTTCTCTGCACTCCCCAGAGGCGGATTTAGGGGAGTGTGACCTGTTCGCCTACACTGGGCACCGAGAGGGTGCCGGAGGAGGCACTGCAACAACAATAAACAATGGAAGATGGGGGAATTTTGGTGTCGTGCAGGGCACCGTTGAATTTTTAAAGCCCAAGATCTGCCACCCATGTTCCAGTGAGAAGGGGGAAAGTGGGAATGCGGAGACACAAACAGTAGTTAAATTAATCTGAAAACATGGAGTGCTCCATTTGGCAATTTGGCAATAGCAGCTCTGCTACCAGACATCAAATACTCTAACCAAGTGGACAGGACCCCTTTCCCCAGTTGAAGTGTGCACTAATTTTCATTGGGTGGGAAAAGATCCCCTCATAAATCCCTCCCTACCCTGTGCACTGCAATTTAGAGCTAGGGAGAAAAAAAATGGATATACAGTGGTACCTCGGGTTACATACACTTCAGGTTACAGACTCTGCTAACCCAGAAATATTACCTCGGGTTAAGAACTTTGCTTCAGGATGAGAACAGAAATTGTGCTCTGGCGGCACGGCAGCAGCAGGAGGCCCCATTAGCTAAAGTGGTGCTTCAGATTAAGAACAGTTTCAGGTTAAGTACGGACCTCCGGAACAAATTAAGTACTTAACCTGAGGTACCACTGTAAAATCAATGCTATTTGGAAAGGGAATGGTTAAAATGACAGAGCTGACAAACCAGAAATAAATAAAGAAATGGCTCCAATATGAGCCATTGCTGACCAGAATAGCATCCATT